TTATATGTAACTGTCACAGAGGTTCTTTTTCTGGATATTACAAAAATTCTTTACTTTAAATCAGTTATGAGTTACAAGTTCAGCTAGCACTGAAATTATACTCAGCATTTAATTTTGTACTTATATTTGAAGTAGTTTTTGTTGGAGAGACAGTAATTTCACAATAATAAGTCTCCCAAAGATCACAAATTTCCTACTATGGAAAATAGAGTAACTTAAAGGAATTTTTAAGTAGGTCTATTTTTTTTTAATTTTTATTTTATTGATACATTGGGGTATAGTTACTTAACAATGTCGTGTTAGTTTCAGAGTACAGCAAAGTAATTCAATTATACATACACATATATCCATTCTTTTTCAAATGCTTTTCCCATTTTGGTTATAACAGAATACTGAACAGAGTTCCCTGTGTTATAGGATAGGTCCTTGTTGGTTATCTATTTAAATATAGCAGTGTGTTATGCAGGTCTGTTCTTGGTGTCTAGGATTATTACCACTTAATAGCCATTAGAAAAGAAAAAAAGTATTTTTAGGCACAGGGAGTTTTTAACTTATTTTCTCCCTTTGATCATGTAAGTAATTTGTTGTAGGAAATTTCAAATATAGAAAATCATCAAGAAAAACATTAAAATCAAACACAATCTACCCCATCACCCGGAGATAATTATACTTTTTGTTGTATATTCTGTTTATTTTCAGAACTAAGCACTTTAATAAAACATGATAATAGTACATGTTCAGATTTCCTGATAATGGTCTAAATCTGAATAGTTATTCAGGTTTTTCAAATAAATATCTCAAATGACTGTTTATTCCAGGTTCGAGGACCTTCACGAGCTGATCCTAACAACATAGTAGATGACCTGCTAACGCCCTGCTCTCCAGGCGACCCTGGTGCCATTGAGATGACGTGGATGGATGTCCCTGGGGATAAACTTTTGGAGCCAGTTGTTTGCATGGTTTGACATTTTGTTTGCTTTTAAAAAAAATTGTTAAACATTATATTTTATAATTTGTCAGATAAAAATTTTCAGTTTTATAAAATTTAGTTTAAAAATGTTAGTATGGTTCAGACATGTTTAATAGTAATACTTCTAAGGTTATAGAGATTAATTGAACATAAAGTATCAAAAATAAGTATCTTTAAATGTTTTCTTGAGCTTCAAGGAAATTTTAATTATAAGTGAATAAGCTGTTTTTTAAAACATACAGGTTTCTGACATAAGTTTTACAGTAATATTGTGAAAATTTTTTTCCCTGAATCTCTGATTTAGTAAAATATCCAGAAACACTATTATATGAATCATAGTATTCATAACAGTGTTTTTCTGTTTTACTTCTCAAGGCGTCATAGAAAGTTTAAATAATGCAGTACTTTTTTAAAAGCTCTGAAAACAAAATTTTTATTATAAGAAATTACATTTCTATAGTTTATGTTGAAGGAATTAAAATATTCTTAAAATATTGCATTTCTATAGTTGCTATTAAGGAAATAAAATAATCTGTAAGACTGCAGGGGGCACAGGTGTGATCCCTAGTGAGGAACTAAAATCCCACACAGCGGGCCGCCAACAAAGAAAAAAAAGATACGTATTTATTATGAGGGTTAAGGTTTTTTCCCCAAACTTTAAACTTTTTATTTCGTATTGGGGTATAGCCAATATGAACATTCAGTTTTAAAATCTTCTCTTACCTAAAGATTTTTCAAATCTGTATGTCAAAATTAATAGTAACTTTCACATGATATGTAGATCTAGATATATAGACATATGTATATAAGCTTGTATGTATAGGTATATAATATATCTGTAAACATATAGAAATAATTATGTGTTAATTAACCACTGCTTATCTGAGAAATTATTTAGAAATCCTTTATTTTTTTTTTCATTCTTTTGATCATTTTTCCATACTCTTTTACAGGAGACATGGCCTAAAAGTTAATCTTTTAATGTAAATTTTTTATATTGGTATATTTTCTTACTATTTTGATTATGATTTTAGCTAACAGTTAAGCTTTTTGATAAGTTGGTTTGATTAAATGGTATTATTCTGTTTCGCATACATGAATGAATATATCCCTTCTGAGTTGCATTTTGACAGCTGCTTAAAAAGTAAACATACAGCCAGAGAAAGGATCGGGGTTTAATTCTGGAGGCTTTGGTCCTTGGGCAAAGAAGACTGTACTTCTTGGGTGCCGAGGAGCCTTTGAAGATTATGATCAGGACGGGGCAAGCAATGAAAGTTAATAAGCAAAGGAATAAAATAGTCGAAGTTGTCTTTTAGGAAAACAAAGAGAGTTTATCATCAGTAGTCTGTGACACAATGCAGATTTTCAGGTTTAACCTTAGTAATAATGCTGATAATGAAATGTTTTTTATTCAGTTAAATCGACTCACCCTCCCCTGTCCTTTTTCCTGACAGTCGGACATGTTACGGTCGCTGTCCAGCACTAAGCCCACAGTCAACGAACACGACCTGTTGAAACTAAAGAAGTTTACAGAAGACTTTGGCCAAGAAGGCTAGACCAGAGACAGCAAGGAAGACGCTTACCATGTGTGTTCTCTTTCATGGGCAGTTTTGCTTTTCCTGGATGGCAGTCAGATTATTTCTGATAAAACTCTTTTACCACAGGAAAATAGAGATCTCACTTCAGCATTCCTTTAAGTTTTATTTGTACTTTTGCTCCATTTCCAATTAAATCCTCCTGTTAACAAAAATTATAAAGTAATGGGCCATAAGAAAATGAATGATATACAAAAACAGGGGAAAAAACAAAATGAGTGATATATAAATAGCAGAAAAATAGAAATTACCCAGTAAAAAAAAAATTAAAATTGATTGACATACAAATATTTTAGATTGTTAGGAACAGTGGTCTTTGCAAAGAGCATTCTTTTTTTTTTTCCAACTAAAATGAAATGGGGCTTATTTCATATTTTGAAAAAAAAAATATTAAGCATCATTCTTGTCAAAGTAAGATTTATTTGCTTTACTAAAAAAATGTTAAATGCTTTACTCTCAGGGATGGGCAGTAAAACAGCAGAGAGCATGTGATCAGGCTTCAAAGGTTCTTAACTGTGTTGTAGCCAAGGGTCTGATTGATTTTTGATAGGTTGACTTTTTTTCTCCATGTAGATTTAAATAGTTTCTATAAAAGCTGCAAGCTTTTTTATATTTAACTAAGTAATACCTTTCACTGTGCAATCTTTAGAGAATGACTCTCTCAGTTTGGCATTGTCTTTATTTTGAAGAAGAAAATTGTATCTTTCAATGTCTTTTTGTAGCAATATTGACCAAAACAGGTGGTGAATAAATATGTACTTTTTAAATAATTCTGTCATGAAATACTGTATGGGAACCTTTACTTAAAGGAACAAACGGCCTCCCTTTGGATTATGGAAAGTTTCTTGTCTGTGATATTGGGGTGTGTGTGTGTATATATATATATATAAATTTTTTAAATATAGGAAAGCTAGAGTCTTGTCTTTGACCTTTTAGTTCAGGGAACAGCTTGTCCTGAGCACACATATGTTATCAGTATAATGTTTCATGAAGCTTTAGAAATGAGCTGATAGTCTCCTTAAATAATAAAATGCAAACATGATTTTATGTTGTTTTAATGCCCTCAAATAAATAATCTGAGGGGGTGTGTTACACACTTGAGCACCAACACTAAGTTGTGCCTTGTACATTTGCAGTGGCCTCTCCTTGCAGAGTGTTATTCAGTCGGCTAGAATGAGGTAGTGTTCCTTAATTTACTATAAAGTTCTGCCTTGCAAATGCTATAGAATAACTTGCATTTTAAAGTCTATTTGCACATTTTACATATTATGCTATATGGTTGCCTTGGGGTTTTCTGTACAAATTGTTTTTGTTGATATTAAATGGAAATCATAGGCCCAAAATACGCTGTTCTTACATGAAGTAAATTGATATAACGTACTATTGGCTATTTTCTGTGTACGCTTCTTTATTTCGGGATCTTCTGTATAGGAGAAAATATTATCTAAATTGATTAGATACAGAGAGATCATTAAAAATTATTAATTAAGAATGTATCCATGAAAATTCTCCTTTAGCTGCTTAGAATCATACAGTATTGCTATTAAAATCTTGTCATTAAGAGAATTAACTATATTATTATAAACTATATAATAATTGAATCCAGAATTCTTTGTGAATCCAAAATTTGTTTTGAGGAAGTGTTTTACTTCAATACACCAAACAGTGTGTAAGCACAGCAATAATGACCAGTGGATACTTTATCACTCGATTCTTCTGTGTGCTCTGAAAACCGTGCCTCAGTATCTATGGCACTTTTAGCCATCTTCCACATTTCTGGTCTTAAAACTGTTTCTAGAATCTTGTTCTAGAATGGTGGAACATAGGCATTTCATGTGCTCTTTATGGGCAGACGACGACTCAGGAGGAAGCTGAATGTTCAGGCTCTCTCTGCCTGGGTGTTGACCGTTACGATGTTTGCTGTTGTTGAGTTGCTCAGTCGTGTCCAACTCTTCGCAACCCGTGGACTGCAGCACACCAGGTTTCCTTGTCCTTGACCATCTCCCAGAGCTTGCTCAGACTCACGTCCGTTGAGCTGGTGATGCCATCCAACCACCTCATCCTCTGTCGTACCCTTGTCCTCCCGCCTCAGTCTCTCCCAGCATCAGGGTCTTTTCCAGTGAGTTGGCTCTTCCCATCAGGTGGCCAAGTATTGGAGCTTCAGCATCAGTCCTTCCAATGAACATTCAGGTTGGTCTCCTTTAGGATGGACTGGTTGGATCTCCTTGATGTCCAAGGGACTCTCGAGTCTTCTGAGCCAACAAGTAAAGCTGACTTTCCTTTGCAGTAGCATGGGGCTTGACACTGTTTATTATGTACTTAATAAAGGCTTGAAAAAATTAAGGGAGTTATATTCATATTTATCTGTGAGACTTTTCATAAAAGAGATAATTTGAAGTTGCTTTCTTCCTGCTGGTCTCCTGCTGTGGTGGTGAATGTCAGTCTTGGTTCTTGGAGCTGAAATCAGAGGTGTACCAGAGCTGGCTCCTCTTGGCCCCAAGAACCAGATTTTCTTATTCCTGACGGCCTGTGGTCACTCCCTGGGCAGCTTGAAACCTGTCACGGCTGCAGTGGTCTTCATCGCAGAATCCAGTGAGTTTCCGTGTATGGGGTGCAGCACAAGCACCACAGTTTAAAGTTGAAAAATTTGTGTCTACCACGTTTACAGAAATAAAAGAGAAAAGTTATGTCTTTGAAGAGTCGTAAAAAGCATTTAATAAAATTCCAGCGCCATTTGTGATTTTTTTAAAACTATAAACTAGGGGTTGAAGAGAACATCTTAATTTACTAAAGAACATCTACCAAGAAACAGAAACTAAAAAATACCATACTCTATTGTGAATTATGGAAAACTTGACTCTCAGGAAGAAGACCAAGGTGCCTGCTGCCACCGCTCCTTTCCAGTTTTATTCAGGAGATTCTACCCAGTTGTAGGAAAAATAGACATTTAGGGGTTAAAAGGAAGAAACTCAACTGTCATCCTCAGGTGACATGATTCTGTATGTAGAAAATCCAAAGTAACAAACTTAGAATCTGAATTTAACAAGATTAGAAGATACAGGTTAGTAAGTGAAAATTGTATTTCTATATTGTAGCCACAATTAGAAACTGAAATGAAAACAATACCCCACCCCTGCTTTATTTTTCTCTGTAGTTCTCACCATCATCTAACATACTGTGTAATTTACTGTTGTTCTAATTTGGGATTTCTCCTCACGTTTGTTCCAGGAAAGCTGGGGTTTTCTTGTCTGTTTTTTCCTCTGCTGTCCCTTCAGTATCTGGAACATTACTAGTGCCTGATAGGTGCTCAATTAATATTTATTGAGTGAATGAATCTTTGTTCTAAGTCTGAATACTTTACAAAGAATGTGTATAATTTTTGCCCCCCTTTCTCTCCCTGCCAACCCTACAATTTTTACTTGTAAAAGAAGAAAATTAAGAATGAAAACACATCAAGATTTGGTGGTTTAGTTGCTAAGGTGTGTCCAACTCTTGTGACCCCATGGACTGTAGCCTGTCAGGCTCCTCTGTCCATGGGGTTCTCCAGGCAGGAATACTGGAGTGGGTTGCCATTGCCTTCTTCAGGGGATCTTCCCAACCCAGGGATCAAACCCAGGTCTCCTGCATTGCAGGCAGATTCTTTACCAACTGAGCACCCAGGCAAGCCCACATCAAGAACAATGGCTAAATCTGTGTGATAGAAATATGGATACTTATTAATTTTTTTCTTTGCTTTTATCTTTATATATGCTTATTTCCCAAAATTAAAAGTCTTTAAGAAAGAATTGCAGTCAACTTGTCAGCTAGGGACAGGAATTTGTCTCCTCTGGAACCTGATGAAATAACAGAAAAGGAAAGGTTTTAAGGGAAAAAAGACAGGAAGGATATTCACCAAACAAACGTACTTTGGAGGAATGTTCATCCCCATTGCCTCCAAGGTTGCAGGAATGCCCCCAGCCCCAGATCCGGGAAGCACAGTGAGGAGCTCCGGGCCCCTGACCAGCTTTGGTTTCTCAGGCACTGCTGCCCCATCCTTCAGTCATGAGCACCGCAAAGATGGCAGGACTTTAAAACAAGGCCATAGCAGCATCGACAGCATCTAAGTAAGTGGATGGGGCTCTGGTAGCTAATTGTCTGTGGCCTCACAGAATGAAGTGTCCACTGAGGGGAAGACGTTGAGCCACTGCAGGAGACGGGGCTCCATGCCTGGATCAAGAAGGCCCTCCGGAGGAGGCAGCGGCTCCCCACTCCAGGCCTCCTGCCTGGAGAACCCCACAGACGGAGGAGCCCAGCGGGGTCGCAGAGAGCCAGACATGACTGAGTGTCTAAACGACAGCAGCACTAAACAAAATGAAGGCACAAGAACCTCGAAGACTGCTAACTGGCAACCCAGGGATCCTTCATGACTGTGCTGAAGAAACAGTTGGAGCCACAGTACTGAAGTAAGCAAAAGCAAAAGTCAGCATTTGATCCTGCAGGTGGCCAAATCATATCGTGGATTACACAAATTTCATCAATATTTTTATGTGACGGTAAGGAAATTTAGTCAGGTAGGAGCCATACTATTGAAATACTTATATTTGTGAGGATTTGGAAGATTCTGAGTATCGGGCAATATGTGGAGGGCTGTGTGGGAATGGATGACGTTGGTGAGCCAAGAGCCTGGATGGGCAGCTTGTAGCTAATTACTGAATTTATCAGTATGGGTTCAGTTACCACATTCAGGATTTAGAATTTTGGTTTGAGCAGCTGAGAGTGATTTCAGTTGTTTGCTAGACTGGTTGAAGAAACTGAACTTGACCGTCACCTGCTCTGAACCCCAGTAAGGTGATCCCTGAGTTGGGAAGATCCCCTGGAGAAGGGAAAGGCTACCCGCTCCAGTATTCTGGCCTAGAGAATTCCATGGACTATATATGGTCCATGGGGTCGCAAAGAGTCCGACACGACTGAGCGACTTAAAAAAGTGATGTAAAAGAAAGAACCCAATATCTAGGAAGTAGGAGTGCTAGAGTGGGTTTATCACGTGAGAATCACTCACAAAGCCACATGTTCCTGGAAGAGACCCAGAACCCAGCCCCTTAAGCAGGGCACTGATAGGTGAAAGTAGTGCATTCCAGAGTGTTTTCCGGGGCCTTTACTTTCACTGGAGCTGGAGCAGTCTTTTGGTTGCAGAAGTCAACTAGTAGCAATTAGCACAAGCCAAGGGGACTTGGTCACCACATTGAAGAGTGGGGCTGGAGTGATAATCAGTGGTCTTTCCTGCAGAGATCTTGACCAGTGATTCAGTGATGGCAGGGTCCTGAAGACCATCACTAAGGCGCTGCGGCAATAGAATCACAAAAAAACTCCTAGCCTGGTGAGCAGAGGTCCAGCCGTCATGATTTCCAGACCTGAATCAGGTCATAGAATCTGTACCATTTGAAAGAAGTGGAGACTGTGTATTGCTGAGAAAGGCTTCTGCCAGAACATCTCAGGTTCAGTGGGAGCTTTGCCTTCAGCCTTCCCCGAAGGATATGGGGCTGCTTCAGGCTGCTGTGAAATAAAGAGGAATACTCAGCTTATTGGACATTAACTCTGAGCTAACATTCTCTACTGGAGAATCAGGAAGTCCTTGTCCACCGTTCAGGAGAGAATTTATGGGGAGGAAGTGATAAGTACGGTGGAGTTCTGACCGGACTCTGCACCGTAGCAGTCCCAGGGGAACTCTGAACAAGTCAGCCATGGTCAGGGTCATCTTGGCCATTCACTGGTCCAGGGAGTGAAGGTTAATGGAAAAAGAAGGGCCCCTGGAGCTCCACCCTCCTGAGAAAACAGTGAAGTAGTATTTACAACCCTAGGAGAAATCCCACAAAGTCATGCCACCATTCAGGACAGGAAACGTGCTGGTGTGATATCATCCACCGGGGGCCCATTTAACTCCTCAGGGTGGACAGTGAAGAAAAGGAGTGAGTTTTAGAGAATATCAGGGCCTACCTACTTACATGTTCTTCTGTTTGCCTAATGTGTCATTAAGATGTATCTGAGATGGTTAAGAATTGAAAGAGGTGTGTTAAGAAGAATACAGACGCACATTCCCTGGTGGTTCAGTAGTTAAGATCCAGTGCTTTCACTGCCGAGGACCCAAGTTCAATCTTTGGTGAGGGAGCCAAGATCCCACAATGCGATGTGGCCCCCACAAAATAATAAAAATATTCAAAAAATAAAAACAAAATCCTTAAAAGGATATAGGTATTATATAAGCTTAATCTTACAAAATGGGTAGTAATGCCAGGTTTCAAAAATTGATGGAACAAGAAATAGAGATTTTTAAATGGTGAGAGTTTCAAATGTAACCAACAAGAATTCTAAATGGTGATATTTACTATGAAAAATTGGGAGGGAGAAAAGAAAGGTTAATGTAAGTGAGCTAAGGTCGCATCTATCAAAGCAGGAAACAATGATGTCTAAGGTCAACATGTCAGGATATAATACAATAAGCAGATGTGGTGATAACCCCCCAAAATGACTTCAGTTCTCTATTACTGCATTAGGCATTCCAAAACCTCATGGCTTAAAACACTACTTTCTCTCTCTCGGGTCGGTGGGTCAAGAGCTCAGGGGAGCTTGGCTGGGCGGTTCCGGCCAGGAGCCTCTTGCACAGTTGGGGTCAGTGGCTGGAGCTGGGAGCACGTCTGGGGACAGCGGACATCTCTCTCCAAGTCTTGGGTTCCCTCCAAGTGATGGGTTGCAACACCAAATACACTCAGGAATTGTTCCCACCAGAAGTGTGTAATCTGAATCCAGCCAAACCATAGACCTGACTGCTGGTTATAGGAAGTTCAGGGGAAAGAGAAGTAAACCACATCACGGGGAGCCAGTCACGCCAAAGAGTGTGCAGGACGTCTGCTAGAAAGCTTGCCTGGTCTCCAAAAAGTCGTTACCAAATGGACGGTTGAGGGGATTTCCTAGGTTAAAAGGATCCTCTGGGTCAGAATACTGGAGTGGGTAGCGTTTCCCTTCTCCAGGGGATCTTCCCAACCCAGGGATGGAACCCAGGTCTCCCACATTGCAGGTGGATTCTTTACCAGCTGAGCCACAAGGGGAGCCCTAGGTTAAAAGAAACTGATGACAACCCAGAACCGAATGCGCAGTAAGAACATTGATTTGCATCCTGGTTTGAGGGGAAAACTGCTGTAAAAAACACTGGAGGTAATTGAAGAAATCTGACTACAAACTAGATATCAGATACTTTGAAATTGTTATTGTTTTGGATGTGATCATGATGTGATTATGTTGGTGTTTGTGGGGACCTTGTTTTCAGATGATACACCCTGAATTCTGCACATACAGTGATGGGGGAGGAAAGCCCATGATGTCTGCAACTACTTTAAAGTTGTTCCTACCCACATTCACATCCCCTCATAAAGCAAACTTGACTGAGTAAATAAATAGGACTGAAGGATTAGGGGTCATTTCTGGAGGAGATGAAATTGAAGAGTCAACTTTAAAAACATGTAGTGGTTTTTAGAAAATCATCACCAACTGATCTTCATTTTTCCCAAGCACTTAACACAGACCCAGGACTTATCTGTGAACAAAGTCGTGGAACTGTCCTTGTTGTATACAACTGAGCACAATCCTGGTTGAAATGGTAAGGTACTTAAGTGTAGGTATTCCTTGATATGGAAATAGTTGTGTCTTAGAATGTTGTCAAAACTCTAAGACTTATAGCCTATTTTCCCAAAGACGTTTATAAAATTGCCAGTGGCTTCTTGAAAGATTTGTGGCCTAAGACCTCCTCTGTTGCAACATTAAAAGGCTTTCCTGTATTTAATTGCAAGGTATGATGTCTTAGATCATAAATAATTCCTTTAAGAATCCACTGACAATTTTATAGAAAACTTTAAACATTCTATATTAAAAAGTAGTAACAAAGTATCAAAGGAGTTCTAGGTTATTAAATAAAAACTTTGAAAATGGAAGAAACTGGTGGCAGCCACAGGTAAGTGAGGGTTTCCCAGGCAGCTCAGACAGTAAAGAATCTGCCTTCCATGCCCTAGACCTGGGTTTGATCCCTGGGTTGGGAAGATCCCCTGGAGAAGGAAAAGGCTACACACTCTTTTCTGGCCTGGAGAATTCCATGGACTGTATAGACCATGAGGTCCCAGAGTCGGACACGACTGAGTGACTTTCACTTCACTTCACAGGAAAGTGGGAAAGATGATGTTAAACGTGTTTGACATCAGCAATACGGTGGGCACTGCACTAGCCAATCAGAATGGCCGAGCTCTCAGCACGTGTCAGTCTCCAAGGCGACAGGTCTAGAATCTTAATAAAGGTATACACACACCTTTCCAGTAAGAGGTAGAACCTGTGTTCTCACAGATTCCTTCTGCTACAGGTTTGACTACAGAGTAGAGAAAACCTTTTGACAACTTTTTCTATTTCTTAGGGGATGCTGAAATTATTGGAGCTCGCTACCAGCAAGTGTAAATTTCAGTTCACAGACTCCAGACAGAAGCATCATATTTCTACACTATGAGTAAGTCAAACCCAAATCTGCTGTGCGGTCTGGAAAATCACTGTTGGTCTTCACTAGACCTCATCCTCCAAGGATCACACTGAAGTCCTCTGGAGTAGGAGGTAGATCTCTAGTCCAGAACCTCTGCGGCTGTTTTCGTTCTTCAGGTTCGCTGATGTCCCTCCGCTCTGGTTTCCGCAGCAGAAGGAAGCCGAGAACCTGGTCAGGAGGGATCTCTGGTCTCTGATCTCGGATCTCTGGGCAGAGGAACCCCCGTCTCCTGCCTGGAGCTTGCAAAATCTCCTCTGAGGGTATTTAGCTTAACCTCCTCAGTGACATGAGAGGTTAGGGTCTGTTGGTGGGGGAGCCAGAAGGAAGGAAAATATTGCACAAGAGATTGTTTCTGCCTGTTTACTCGATGCGAGGGAAGCCTGCCATCTTCCGACAACTGGGGAGGAGAAAATAGAAAAAATAATAACCCTGCCACACAGGGTTAGGTCATCCCAGGAAGGTATCTCCAGGAAAGTCTAGAGCTAAAAACAGCTTTCTTTGAGTTGTAGAATTTCTAAGTAAACATTTTTTCTTTATGCTCTTGTTTTCTAAGTTTTATGAAGGGAGCATTTTTTTATTGAGGTAAAATATGCATAATATAAAATTTACCATTTTTTAATATTTTTGAGTGTAACACAATTCAGTGGCATGAAGTACATTCACAATGTTATGGAACCATCAACAAACACTATTTCCAGAACTCTCGACCCAAACAGAAACTCTCAGCCCGTTAAATAATAACCCCCTCATTCTCCCTTCCCTTTAGCCCCTGAGGACCACTGTTCTACTTTCTTTCTCTGTGAATTTGCCTATTCTAGGTACTTCATATAAATGGAATCTATAGCATCTTCCCATTTGTATTGGTTTATTAATGCAGCGTGTATTAAAACAAAACATTCAAATAGCTTCAATAAAGACTGTCCCTTATGAGTTACACTGTTGATGACTCAACCTGCATTAGATAAGTTAAGGAGAAAGGATCAAGCTCATGCCTCACAATAAAAATGCTACATAGTGTAATTATAGGCATGTAATGAAAGATCGAGGGCAGGAGGAGAAGGGGACAACAGAGGACGAGGTGGTTGGATGGCATCACCAACTCAGAGGACATGCGTTGGAGCAATCTCCGGGAGTTGGTGATGGACAGGGAAGCCTGGCATGCTGCAGTCCATGGGGTCGCAAAGAGCTGGAAGTGACTGAGCAACTGAAAACAACAATATGAGTCATTGCTAGTTCACTCATAATTTTGTTATGAAAACAAAACAGAAAGCTGTCGGTGTAATCGTGTTCCATTAACTGTTGTTCAGTCACTCAGCCATGTCCAACTCTTCTCCTCCTGCCCTCAACCTTTTCCAACATCGGGGTCTTTCTTAATGAGTTGGCTCTTCCCATCAGGTGGCCAACAGTTATTATAAACTGTTGCTTCATAATAATTCCAAAATGCAATGGCTCAAAACAATGACGACCGTTTACTTTGCTCATAACTGCTGAATGTATGGGCTCCATGCTCTGCCACTGCGGGAGAGGATGCTCTTTGAAGATGGCTGTTCACACAGCTGGCAAGCGGGTGTCAGCTACTGACTGGGAGTCCAGTGGGGCTGCGGGCTGGAGGCCTCAGCTCTCCTTCAAATGGACCTCTCCATGGAAAGGCTGAGCTTACTCAGAGGACAATGCATCACTGCAAGGGCGAGTGCTTCAAGAAAACCAGGGAGAAGCTGCGGGGCCTTTTCCATGTTGTGACAACAAGGCCCACCGTGTCACTTCAGCCACAGTCGTTTGGTCAAGGCAGTCACAAGGGTCCACCCGCGATCATAGACCCCACCTCTCAGTGGTGGTCACATTCAAAGAACATGTGGGACTGGAGAGATTGTGGCCGCCATCCTTGGAAAATATAGTTTGTTGCAAAAATAATTCTCTGTATTCAACACTTTTATGCATACTTCCCATGAACAGCCTATACAATTGTGTCCTTCTCCTTCTTTATGACTGTTCAGATGACATTTATTAAAATGCATTTTTAAGTCTGTGGACTCTAATAGTAAATCATTAAAGGTTGTATTTTGCAAGTCTTTGTTTTGGTTTGGTTTCCTTTTTCTAACTGGTTGGCCACAGAAAGGAAACCAAGAAGGAAACTGGACATACAACACGATTTGAGCAGCACTGGTCTCACTGAAGAGTGAAGAGGGCAGTGCTGCCTGGGGGTCGCCCGTGAGTCCTGCAGAACGTGGGGGACGCTGGGGACCCGGAAGCAGCAGGGAGAGGCAGCGGCAGGCGGCCCCTGTGAAGGGTGGCAGTGCTGCCTTCCCTCCGCCTTCCTACTCTGTGTTAATTCTTGGCTGTGCTGGGTCTGCCCTGCTGCTTGGGCTCTTCCCCAGTTGCAGTCCATGGGCGTCTCTCTGCAGTGCCTCCCTGCAGTGGGCCACAGGCTGCAGGCACTCGGGCTTCAGAAGCTGCAGCTCAGGGCTGGGCTCCTGAGCACGGGTTCAGTCATTGTGCCAGATGGGCTTAGTTGCTCCAAGGCACATGGAATCTTCCCTGACCAGGGATCGAACCCATGTTCCCTGCGTGGGCAGGCGGATTATTTACCGCTGAGCCACCAGGGAAGCCCCTCTCTGCCCTCTTTTTATAATCTCCCATTAGCATAGTTTGTAGTAGTGTTGTTTGCCTGTATAAATGAGGTGTAAACCTTACTTAGCCCTGGATCCACTTCCTCTGATAAGATCTGTGAGTCTTTACCATAAGCAATGATAAAATTTGCATACTTCTTTTGAGTCGCTAATATATTTTTGTTTTTATTTATTTGGCTGTGTCGGGGCTTAGTTGCAGAAAGTGGGATGCTTCTCTGCGGCGTGTGAATTCTCTGCGGCCTCTCTCGCTGTGGAGCTGGCTTAGTTCCCCCAGGTCTGGGGGATGGATCTTAGTTCCGCAACCAGAGATCGCACGCGTGTCCCCTGCGCTGCGAGGCAGATGCTTAACCACTGGCCACCAAGGAAGCCCCAGTAATATATTTCTTAATGTTTGCCTTTACGGTGGTGAATATTTATACTTCTGTGACTTGATTTGTCAACTTTAACCAGTATCTTTGGGTATCAGGTGCAAAAGAGGCAGTTAATAAAAGTCATCCTACCTTCCAAGTGTTTTCCTTCTTTCCCTCCCAAAAGGTTCTATTATTTCTGCCTTATTTAGGTATAACACTTATATAACACTAGCGTCTTTACCCTAGACACTACATTTGTTTTAATCTTTGTTATACAGTTAAACTTATTTCATTTGCCAAATTCTCAAAAGACGGCCCTTTCACTCTGCTCTTCTCGGTCGTCTTGTGACTGGCTGAAGTTTCTGCTAGAAACTGAATGTCTGCATCCCCCAAAGTCACATGTGAAACCCTAAGGCCCAAGGTGATGGTATCGGAAGGTGGGGTCAAGAGAGGTGGCTTTGGCCTCACAAACAGGATCAGCAGCCTCGTTAGAGACCTCGGAGAGCTCCCTGCCCTTTCCAAGTGAGGCCACAGAGACACGCTGGCTTCCGGGGACCTGGAGGTGAGCTCTTACCCAGCACCCAACCTACCAGCCCATGGTCTTGGACTTTCAGCCTCTACAATAGACAGAAATGGATTTCTATTGTTTATAAGCCACCCAGTCTATGGTCTTCTGTTAGAGCTGCCCAGAAAGACTAATGTAATAACCTTCATGCTTTTCTCAAGAGGCACTCATGGGAAAAATATTGATCATTATACATTCAAGGGTGAAATACAGATTAGCTGGATAGAAAACTTTGCTCAGCATTTCCTTCCTGGAGGATCTTATAGACGTATCATTGTTCCCACACATGGAATGTCATTGTGGAGAAATCTGAAACTAGCCAGATTTCTTTTTAAACAAGTGACCTGATTTTTTTGGGGGGGGAGGGGGGGCCTGTTGGCAAAGTCTTCCTTCTTTTAAACCCAATGTGCTTTTTTCCCCTATAGTTTTACATTTAAGCCCATGATCCATTCTGTTCTCCAGAAAACCAGAACTAATAGAAGATACGAATATACGTGTGTATGAAATGTAAGACATTGGCTCCCATGGTTCTGAAAGCTGGCATAGTCCAAGATCTGCAGGGTGAGTTGGCAAGCTGGAGACTTAAGAAGAGCTGAGGTTTCAACTCAAGTCCAAAAGCAAGAAAAATGGGCAGTGTTCTAGTTAAACGTTCATCAGACAGGAATAATGATCTCTTCCTTGGAGGAAGGTCAGTCTTTAGGTTCTTTCCAGGCTTTCAACTGACCCACACTGGGAAGGCTAACTTGCTTTACTCAGCCTCCTGATTGAAACGCTTGTCTCATGAGATACCCTCTCACAGAAGTACCCAGGGTAAGGTTTGACCAAATAGCTGGGTACTGAGTGGTCCAGTCAACCTGACACATAAAATTAACCATCATATTATCTGAGTCAACTTTTGCAGAAGGTGTAAAGTTGAGGTTAAATTTCATTTTTTTGTCGATGGATGTCCAATTTTCCCAGCATTATTTCTTGAAAAGGCTACCTTTCCTCCATCAAACTGCTTTTGCAACTTTGTCAGAAGCCTGTGGCATGTGTAGTTGTGGATTCTGGGTTTTGCTGGGTTCTGCTCTCTGTGGCTACTGCAGTCTTTGTTACTGTAGCCACATAATAAGTCTTGAAATCAGGTAGACTGGTTACTCCCCCTGTTCCCCCCACGTTTTAGATATTGTAGTTCCTTTACCTTTACATATAAATTTTAGAATAATCTTGGCTACAACTACAAAAAAAATATTGCTAAGATTTTGATGGGAAAAACACACTTTATAATAAAATAAATTTTAAAAACTGAAAAAATAACAGCAAGAAAGTAAAACTAAGCCCACGACGTCCAACAGTGGGCAAGAAGCTGTCCCATCCGGTGGCTGTCCGCGTGGCACGCCGGCCGCAGAATGAAGGCCTCAGAGAACCGGGACGGGGACTGGAGCGGCTGTGACGGGGAGCGGGGCAGGCGCACACGCGGTCCCGAGTGTGTGCGGACGGCAGCGTGAGGAAGACCAAGCAAGGGGCCGCCAGATACACTTCTCCCCTTTCGTGGGGCTTCCGGAGGAGAAGGGGCGGGGAGCACGCTGCCCTAATTACGCAGCTCTCCTCACGGAGAGAAGACGGCGGTACGGCTACGCTTTACTCTTTTTTCTTCACAGTGCCTCAACTTCCTTATTTTTCCACCTGACGCAGTATTCCCAAGGACCAGTGCTTCCAGTGTGGGTGCTGAATCAGGGATCATCCCTAAGTGAGAGACTTAGCTATGCTTCGAAACCTTCACACCAGAATCCCTAAGAGGCTTAGGGGTGGATAACGCCTTCACTCCACCTGGCAAACCCATGCATTGATCTGCCTGACTGATCGTGAATGCAGATATATTGCCCACGCTGTGCTGTGTGTGATGCCTGGTCCCTCTGTCACGTCCGACTCTCTGCGAACCCCTGGACGGCAGCCCGCCAGGCTTCTCTCTATCCACGGGGTGCTCCAGGCAAGAATACTGGAGTGGGGAGCCATTCTCTTCTGCAGGGGATCTTCTGGACGCAGGGATCAAATTAGGGTCTCCTGCAATGCAGGCAGATTCTTTACTGCCTGAGCCCCCAGGGAAGCCTAGTGGTTGCCAAAAGCCCACTGGCTGTATGCCTGCGTCACGTTACCATACGCAAAGAAGAGTGGGCTGAGAGGCGGTTTTTTCTAGATTAATATCTGTGCCAGCAATCTGGAAAAGCAGGACACTAGGCTGAACACAATGTCCCTTCCAATGTGTTCAGTATGAGGTTGAACACAATGTCCCTCAAACACAGTGATTTGAGTAAAAGCAAATCATAAATAGAAGGAGACGTGGTAACCAAAGAAAAAGGAATAAATCAATGGATTACGTGACAAAGAAAAAGCAACGTTACATGAATTCCTTGAGGGAAGCTCAGAGCACAGGGTGATGGTCTCTGAAAACTGCAACCCTGAGCAGCCTGCTTTGGGAGACATTTTGGTCAAATGATGTGTTGATAAGCTGGACCAATTGTTGGTAATTGAGTGAAACTCCAGCAAATGTGACAATATCTGTTTTTAAATTGGGGCATAGTTGCTTTACAATGTGTTGTTAGTTTCTCTTGTACAATGAAATGAATCAGCGATGTGTATACATGTAGCCTTTCGCTCTTGGACCTCCCTCCTACCCCAGCCCCATCCCAGCCCTCTAGGCCGCCACAGAGCACCGAGCCAGGCTCCTTGTTTGATACAGGGGGCTGCGTGCCCACTAGCTGTCTCCTTTACACACGCTAGTGTATATACGTCAGTCCCAGTCTCTCAATTCATCTCACTCTCCTTTCCCCTCCCAGGTCCACATGTCTGTTCTCTATATCTGCATATCTATTCCTGCCTGCAAATAGGTTCATCTGGACCACTCTTCTAGAGTCCATATATATGCATTAACAAACAATATTTGTTTTTCTCTTTCTGACTCACTTCACTGTGTATGACAGCCTCTAGGTCTGTCCACATCTCTACAAATGATTCAATTCCACTCCTTTAATGGCTGAGTACTATTCCACTGTATATATGTACCACTTCTTCTTTATCCATTCACATGTCAGTGGATCGCTAGGCTGCTTCTGTGTCCCGGCCATTATAAATAGTGCTGCAATCAACATCGGGGTGCATGTGTTTTTCTGAATTGTGGTTTTCTCAGGGTATATGCCCAATAGTGGTGTTTCTGGGTCATATGGTAGTTCTATTTTTGGTTTTTTAAAGCACCTCCATACTGTTCTCCATAGTCGCTGTATCAGTTTACATTCCCACCAGTTTACATTCCCCTTCTCTCCAGATCCTCTCCAGCATTTATTATTTGTAGATTTTTTGAGGATGGCCATTCTGACCTGTGTTTTGATTTGCATTTCCCTCATAATTAGTGATGTTGAGCATCTTTTCATGTGCCTCTTGGTCATCTGTACCTTTTCCTTGGAGAAATGTCTGTTTAGGTCTTCAGTCCATTTCATTCTTCTTTTTCCGGCTATGTCTACTACTCACACCTAGATAGGGTTTCCCAGGTGACTCACCGGTAAAGAATCCACCTGCCAATGCAGTAGACACAGGTTCGTTCCCTGGGTTGGAGAAGGAAATGGCAGCCCACTCCAGTATTCTTGCTGCAATCCCATGGACAGAGGAGCCTGGCAGGCTACAGTTCATAGGGTCACAAAGAGTTGGACAGGCCTTAGCAACTAAACAGCAACAAGAAACACACCTGGATATGATGTAACACTGGCATCACCTTAATGGCAAGATTGCAATATGGAGACTGGTGGTTAAATCTGTTGGGAAATTAGGAGCCTCCTACTTCACACTGCCTCCTCCAAATACTAGGCATATGTTTGTTCTGTTGTAGAAGAGCCTGGATGGCCTGGACCCCAGAGAAGTTCTTGCCATTTCCTTTGGCTTCTTGGAGGTGTTCTCCCTCAGACCTGATGAAGTGCCCTTCTTCAGATGAGGGCTGGTGACAGTGGACTTTAGGGTGGGGCCTGCCCATTCCAGAAAGACCAGTCATGTGATTTAGGTGGAAGTTCCCTGTTGTGTTATCTGCTAACCTGGAGACTGCCTTCAGCCACAAAGGCAATCAGTCAATTCTCTTATGAATGAAGCTGCAGTATGAACTCTGGATGCCAGAGGAGCTTCCTTGGTGACCTGCCCTAGTTGGCAAGTCTCCATGGGAACTGTCACACCCAGTGTTGGGAGGTCCACGTCTGGAGAATTCCAGACTGTGCCCTTGTTGCTGTTTAGTCTCTAAGTCGTGTCTGACTCCTTCTATGACCCCATGGATTGTGGCCTGCCAGGCTCCTCTGTCCATGGAATTGCCCAGCAAGAATACTGGAAACTTTTCCAGAGAATCTTTCAGACCCAGGGATTGAACCTGCAGCTAAGCGTCTCTTGCATTAGCAGGCATATTCTTTACCACTGAGACACCAGGGAAGCCCAGACTTTGCCCTATGTACAATTTCTCTTGGCTGACCCTCATAAACCATAATCATGAGTGTAACAGCTCTCACTGAGCTGAGTCCTTCTAGCAAATAATCAAACCTGAGGGTGGCTTGGGAACCCCTCCTCCAAACTTTTAATTGATGTCAGAAGTCCTGGGGACTCATAGCTTATGATTCGTCTAATTCTGGGCAATAAATTAAGAAGAAAAACTCAAGATCAGTTCCTTTGTTTCTGAGCTCTCTAGTATTTCTAAGAATAACTTCAAAAAAGTAAAGCACATAAGCGAATAAAAAATATGTGCCTTTTGCAAACTAAAACCCTAACAAAATGTCACTTCACACCCACAGTGGAGGCTGTAATTAAAAAGATAAAAACAAGTGTTGGTGAAGATGTGGAGAAACTGGTATCTTTATACACTGCTGGTAGGGATTATAAAATTGGGCAGCTGCTTTGGAAAATGGTCTGGCAGTTTTGCTTAAAACAGTTATTATAAGATCCAGCAATTCCACTCCTAGGTATACACCCAAGAGAAATGAAAAACTTCTACATGAATTTTAACAGCAGCATTGTTCATAATAGCCAAAAAGTAGAAACAACCTAATGTCCATCAATTGATGAATGGATAACTGATATATGGTTTGTCCAAACAATGGAATTTGGTCATAAAAAAACACGAATTACTCATACACTGTACCACATGGATGAACCTTGAAAACGTATGCTGACTGAAAGAAGCCGGCTACAAAAGGCTATCTATTCTATAATTCCATTTATATGAAATATCCAGGATAGGTAAATTCATGGAGACAGAAAGATTAGTGATTACTTAGGGCCCGAGGGGGTGGGAGGAAATGGGGAGTGACTGTTAACGGGTAGGGATTTGTGTGTGTTTTCAGAGTGCAGCTAAATGACGGTGGTGATATTTGCACAAATCTGACTATATAATGTACTTTAAACAGGTGCACTGTATGATATGCGAATTAGATCTCAATAAAGCGTTTGACTTTTTTAAACCCTGCCTTGGTAAAAGATGAACTCTGAACTCAAGGAAGCTGAATGACCTGAGCGATTTTAGAACTCCCTGTCCAGGCCTTCCCAGTCCTCGGCAAGCGAAAGTGCGCTGTGACCATTTTTTAATCACGAAAGAAAATACGAAATGGAGCCCGGGATTCGCGGGCCTGATGCCGGGCCTTCCGCGCTAGACCGAGGCCCGGAGGTCCGGACCGACGCGTAGACAGCCCCCGGCCCCCGCCTCCGACCCGGGGAGGCTCGGCGCGCGGCCCCGCAGCCCTAAGGAGGCCCCGCCTCCCCGGCGGAAGGTGCTGGTCCCGTCCGGGCGCCGGGGACGTCTGGCAGACCCCGGACGCCCCGCGCCCCGCGCCCCGCGCCCCGCGCGCCGGGAGCCGACCCCGCCCCTTTTTGCCGCAGGTCGCGCCCGGCGCCAAACACCGGCTTAGGCCTCTCCCCGGCCCCGACCCCGTCCCCGCCCCCGACCCCGTCCCCGCTCCCAGGCCTCGGCCCCGCCCAGCCCCGCGCGTCGCCGGCCCTCCCAGGCCCCGCCCCGGCCCCCCACGCTCCCCCGCCGCGCGCCGCCGAACCCCGGCCCCGCCCCGCCCGCACCGCACCGCACCGCACCGCCCGCGCGTCGCCGAACCCCCGGCCACGCCCCGGCCCGGCCCCGCCTGCCGCGCCCGCCCCGCCGCGCGTGACCGCCGAGCCTGCGCCGAGCTGCGCCCGGGCCGCCGGTCGCGCGATGCTGCTGCTGGCCGCCGCGTCCCTCGTGGCCTTCGTGCTGCTGCTCTACATGGTGTCCCCGCTCATCAGCCCCAAGCCCCTCGCCCTGCCTGGGGCGCACGTGGTGGTGAGTGGCCCCCGAGGCCGCGGCGGCGCCGTCCCCGGAGCGCGGGCCCCAGGCCGGCCGCCCCGCCGCCCCGCGCTGTCTCCTCCGCTGCCTCGGCTCCCCCGGGGCCGGCGCGGGCTCGGGGGGACTCCGGGGTCCCGGGGTTTCTGTGCTTCGGCTCCCCGGTGAGTCCGCCGAGGGGGCGGAGGGGCCGCGGGACACCGCCGGGACCCCGCGGTCGCTGGCGACCCGGGCGCGGCGCGCGGCCCTGGCCGGGGTCCGGGGCTGCGCCGGGGCGGCCCCCGGAAGGCGCCTTGCGCGAGTGACAGCGGGCAGAGCGGTCCGGGAAGTGAGTCTCTCCGGCGGAGCGGCAGCCCTCGCGAGCGGCGTTGGGGCCATCCTGCCCCGTCTGCACGGCCTGTCCCTACTGGACTCGGCCTGGGGTCGGCCGGGGCCGTCCCCGTGCAGTCAGGCGGTTGAGCCAGAGGACCTGGCTTGTGCGTTTGTGATGAAGGGGACGTCGGTGGGTGGGTGTGTTTCTTATCAGAAACTCTGCGACGATCCCTCCTCCGCAGGTGGACCACCTCACTTAAACAGAAAGCCTGCTCTCTGCGCCCAGCATGCCACCATTTGCTGTGGCTTTCGGGCCCTTTTTTACTTGATTTTTTTTTACGAGCCCGAGGCACGTAGAGGCGGACGTTATGAATAAGAAAAGTTAGTTACTAAGCAGCTAGCGCAAATCCTCCTGGTGTGGGAGGTGACATACGGGTGTCCTGGCTAAGGTCCGAGCATCGCTGGGATGAGATGGGATGGGATGGTCGTTGCTTTTAGCGTGTCTGACGTCCCGCCGAGAGTTTCTGAATAGGAACATATATTTTGTTTAATTTCTCTGGTCAAACTATTAGTGTACTTCTAGCTCCAGCCATTCCTGATGCAGAAGATAGATAAGGAGGTGAGTTGTTAGTTCATTAGCTAGGGAGAGAGGAGCAAAATTTTACAATCATGTTGCCTTCTGAAAGGGTCACATCTGCAAGAGAACTTCTGCCTCAAAAACTGTGGCTTTAAAACTTGGGTTTTTTCAGCAGTGATGTTTGCAGAGCACACCTCGTAGTGTTTATAAGGGACTCTCACTTAACGGCGACTCTGGTCCTACCAACCCCATCATGCTTCTGTAGACCCTGGATAAGATAATGAACACATCTGCTGGGGTAGATCCCACAGAATTTCTTATTTTCACCATCTCATTTGGCTGTGCCACTATAAATGATGTGAGGACGACATGAATAATTCACATGATGTCACATCTGTCTTCTTTTTTTAATGACATAAAAAGAGTAAAAGTGTAATTGTTTTTCTTGAGATTTGTTAGGACTAGACCCAGTCGTGTCAGGAAGGGGGCCAGCGTTCAGAATGTCTTGCTGATGGGGAAGCATGAGCAGGCTTAGGTCAGGACTAGTTATTCTTTTGTTTTTAAAACAATTCTGACTGACAAGTATTATCTCTCTAATTACACTGGTAAAGCTGTGCAGCAAGCCTTACACAGTGTGTGTGTACACATGTGTGTGCACACGCTTAGTCACTCAGTTGTGTCCGACTTTTGTGACCGCATGGACTGTATGTAGCCCACCAGGCTCCTCTGTCCATGGGACTTCCCAGGCAAGAATATTGGAGGGGGTTCCCATTTCCTTCTCCAGGTGATCTTCCCGGCCCAGAGATCGAACCCACATGTCCTGCATCGCAGGCAGATTCTTTACCATCTGAGCCACCAGGGAAGCGCTCTTACACAGTATATACTTATTTAAATCAGCTGTTTTTTAAACAAAGCTGTTAAACTGATTTGGTGAAAACTAGAAAATCAAGCCTGCCCTTTTGGGGAGATGGATGGAGAAGCTGTTCTGACAGCAAAGCGCCCTCTCTTGCCCTCGATAAGAGGTGTGTGGTAGAATTGAAGACATACTAACATTTAAAACAGTAGTGGCAAAGAACAGTCAGAATGAGTGATAAAGAAAGGCATTAAACTGTTATCTTTGGGGTCTTAATGTCTCAAGTTACCAATGGTCAGGCAACTCAGTCCGTATTTACTGTTTTCTCAGCCATTAGGAAAATCTCTTATGTTTTCTTATACCACCCAAGGGTAACGTAGCCTGGATTGGCTTAGGCATGTTCTTAGATACCTTCTATGAATTAGCTGGCTTGGACTGGAAGGTCAGTTTCCCATGAACCGTGACTCAGAAGTTGAAGTCTTATTCTTGTTTTTATGGATAAATCTTATAAGATTACACCCTGTTCTTTGTTGTGCAGTAATTTGACACAGCTTGCTTACCTGTTTCAGTCTAGAAAAAGGACAGTAACAATCATAATATATACAGAGCACCTGAGAGCATATATATTTTCTCAATCACCTCATCACTTCAGCTTCCATGTATTCCTTGAATAACAGAATTTTTACTTACAAGCTTTTTTGGCTTTTTTTTTTTTCCAGGGAAATGGCATCGTACACCACTTTGCAAATTAATGGTAGGCAATATTTATTTAGCAACTGTTTATGTGGAGTGCTGTGCTAGGAATGAGGATGGTAGCTCAGACTTGATACTCGTCCTCAGTGAGCTTAGAGTCTGACCCGGAAGCTCAGGCAGGCACAGAAGGAACTGCAGAAGGTGCAAAAGTGACAGACAGGACAGAGGGACAGAGTCCGGGAAGGCTTCTTGGAGGAGGAGATGTTGGGACCGGCCTCTGCAGGTTCCATGGGATTTGGAAATGCAGGTGTGTGGGAGATGTTGGGTGAAGGGACCTGTAGGCAGCAGAAATAGCCAATGACATTCTTAATGATCTTGCTAATTGAAATGTCTGATCAAAAGTAATAAGCCAAAACCACCTATGAAATATATATATTTTTAATATTTATCTACATTGACTTAGTGGACATGAGTTTAAGCAAACTCAGGGAGATGGTGAAGGACAGGGAAGCCTGGCGTGCTGCAGTCCATTGGATCACAAAGAGTCGGACATGACTGAGCAACCGAACCACAACATTTATTTATATGGATAGCCTGGATCTTAATTGTGGCAACCCCATTCTTTCATTGTGGCATGTGAACGCTTAGTTGCAGCATGCAGGGTCCAGTTCTCTGACCAGGGATAGAACCCAGGCCCCCTGCATTGGGAGTCTTAGCTACTGGACCGCCAGGGAAGTCCCCCTATAAAATATTTCGATAGCAAAGAGCTCTTCAGAGGTGACTGTTAGGTGGGATAGCAGATGTATCTTAATAGTAACTGCTAGATAATTGGTTAATTATCCCAAAGAAATCCCTTCATTTGTGAGAAGCTGAGGTTCAGGAGAAACCTAGGAGTTCCATGGAGATAGGTACATTGTGTAGGAAGGAATCTTGATCTTTAAAGTCATGAGATTGGAAAAAAAAAAAAGTCATGAGATGGGATCAGAGATATTCTTTACAGCAAGATTTATATCTAACAAAATATTCAAAACAATCTAGATGTCTGACTATAGGGGAATGGTTAACTAAGTTTCGATATAGCTATCTAACGCAATATTGTGTGTCATTTTAGTTTTTCGACTATACATTTTTTTGTTTTGTTTTGTTTTTTAGGTAGAATACAAAAGTGTGTAAGGGCTGATGCCTCTCTGACTCTTGTTTTCCTCCCTCACCTGCTCCCCTGGCCTGTGTTATATAATGTGCCTAGGAACAATGAATAGAAAGATAATGTTACATTTGTATCATTAAGTTAAATACATTTTGAGCCCTTTCTATATGCCAGGCATTATACGAAGGACTGGGAATATAGTGTGTGTGTTAGTTGCTCCATCGTGTCCAACCCTTTGCGACCCGGTGGACTGTAGCCCGCCAGGCTTCTCTGTCCATGGGATCCTCCAGGCATGAACACTGGCGTGGGTTGCCATTTCCTTCTCCAGGGGATCTTCCTGACCCGGGGATCGACCCCAGGTCTCCTGCATTGTGGGCAGTCTTTACCATCTGAGCCACCCGGGAAGTCCAGGAATGTAGTGGGGTGCCCAAATAGAATTGGTATTTTTAGGGAGTCTGTGGAGTGCTAATGGGAGAGATGACTGTAAATCAGATAGCCACACAGATAAATGCACGGCTGTTTGGTTATGGAGTGATGTAAAAGCAAGGGGCAAAAGGCTGCAGTGCTGAAAGGCGGGCGGAGGCGGGGCCGCGGGCAGCCTGGGAGGCTTTCCTGGGGCCGTGATCATTTGAGCTGAGACTTATTGGGTGAATAGATGCCAAGTAGATGAAAAGGGGAGGAGAGCATTTCTGACAGGGAGAATAGAATGTGCAAAGGTCCCGTGGCTGGAGAAGGCATGACTGGGAGCCAGCCAGTATGGCTGAGCTGTGGACAATGAAGATAAGAATAGTGCCAGAAGAAAAGCTTCACTGTTTAGTGTTTCCACGTGATCATGTATTACTTTATAATAAGCAGTTGTTTAAAAGATCATAAGATATATGCTGGTGATTATTCTTTTCATCTCCTGTAGAACTGGTCATTCATAGAAGACATATAGAAAAACAATGTTCATTTGGATTTGGACTCAAAGCCAAACTAATGTATTTATTTTTTAATTTATTGAAGTATAGTTGATTTACAATGTGTTAATTTCTGCAGTATAGCAAAGTGATTCAGTTATGTATTATATATAATATATACATACATGTTCTTTTTCATAATGGTTTACTGCAGGTTGAATGTAATTCCCTGTGCTGTACAGTAGGGCCTTCTTGTTTATTCATTTTGTATATAATAGTTTGCATCTGCTAAACCCAAACTCCGAGTCCATTCCTCCCCTACCCTGGAACCGCAAGCCTGTTCTGTTTGTTTGTGGGTCAGTTTCATAGATAGGTTCATTTGTGTCATATATCAGATTCTGCATATAGCAATACTATGTGATACTAGTATTTGTCTTTCTCTGTATCACTTACTTCACTTAATATGATAATCTCTGGGTCCATCTGTGTTGCTGCAAACAGCATTCTTTCTTTCTTAAAGCCGAGTGCTATTCCATTCCATTCCATATGTGCACGCATCCATAGAGTGTATCCACACATCTTTATCCATTCATGGACCTTTAGGTTATTTGCATGTCTTGGCTATTGTGAATAGTGCTGCTGTGAACATAGGGGTGCATGTATCTTTTCGAATTATCAGACTAATATATTATTTATTAGCTAGATGTATAGGGCTCTTGCCCCCCCAGTGGACTCAGAAATATAGGTGTGCAGTGGATAGTTCAGTACTGGAAACAGTCAGAACCACACACCCTGCTGACAGTTTGTTCTCAAACTCCATTCATTGGGTCTGGGATGACGATGCTACAGTAGTTGAAGATTTAGTTCCTGTAGGTTGGATTTTGGAGCTCATCATAGTTGTTTAATTTATTTGCGTTGGGTCTTAGTTGGGAGGTGCAGGCTTCGTCGTCCTGGGGCGTTTGGGATCTTAGTTCCCCTGCCTCCCCTGCCTTGCAAGGCAGATTCTTTTTTTATTGTTATTATTTATTTATTTTTAACTGAAGGGTAATTGCTTTACAGTATTGTGTTGGCTTCTGCCAAACATCAGCGTAAATCAGCTAGGGAGCCCATGTCCCCGCCTCCTCTCCGTTGTTCCAGAGCTGGGGTTTGAGTTCCCTGCGTCAGACAGCAAACTCCCATTGGCTGTCTATTTTACATACGACAGGTTCTTCACCCCGGACCACCAGGGAAGCCCCCCGTCATATTTTTTTTTAGTTTCCCACAGAAGGGAAGTTTCAGGTGCTAAGATTTCTTTATTTCTGCTTTTAGGTTACAGGAGGCTCTAGTGGCATCGGAAAGTGCATTGCTATCGAGTGCTATAAACAAGGAGCCTTTATAACTCTGGTTGCACGGAATGAGGTAAGTCTTCCAGCTATGTTCTTAGGTACTGAGTCAGCATGATGTGAGTCCCAGAGGCCGTGCGCGGCTCGCAATGTTCATGCCTGTCTCTGCTTGGAGCTGTGATTCCTGTGCTGTGCTCAGTCGTGTCCGACTCTGCAACCCCGTGACTGTATCCCGCCAGGCTCCTCTGTCCGTGGGATTCTCCAGGCAGGAATACTGGAGTGGGTTGCCATGCCCTCCTCCAGGGGATCTTCCCGACCCAGGGATCGAACCCAGGTCTCCCGCATTGCAGGCGGATTCTTTACCATCTGACTGGTTATTTCTTGTGTTCCAGGCAAAAACTTCCTGGTTGAAGTCAGGTTAGCTCCACAGATATTTTATTCAGGGCCAGGAACTCTGAGGCAACACTGCAGAGACTGCAGACCTGGGAGAGGCAGAGACTTAGGTGCACCCCTGGCTATAGGCAGCCAGGGAGGCCGCCCCCTGCCCAGAGCCGCAGATAGCGACGTTCTAGGGCCGATCTGAGTCCTGGAGGATTACTGTAGGCGTTTCTCTGTAATTTGCTTCTGACGTCATCTCCATCTCTGGAGAGACCCAGACTGCAGGGGAAATCTCCCTCCTCCCCAGCAGTTCCACAAAACGCGTGCTTTTCTGTGTCGAGTCAGCACAAGATCTGTTTCCCTTTTCTGTTCAGTGTCTGTTTTCCTTGCCCGAGCCCAGGGCGCTGCGCTCCTTTCTCCCCTACAGTCCCACGTCCTGCTCCCCGGGGGGTGGGGAGGGGCAGGGACCACGGCGGGCCTTCTGGGCTTGGTGGGGAGCTTGGGTCATAGTGGGCACTCGATCGGGACGTCTCTGTTGGCTGCAGAAATGAAGGGAGGGCGATGGACCGAGGGGCAAATGCGGCACAGTGTCGTTGATGGAGTTTGATGCACCGGTGAACAGGGAGGGCGGCGGGGTGCTGGCTGCCCTGGGGTGGGGTGGGGGGAGGCACACAGCTGGGCAGTGAAAGTGCCCAGGCGGATGGCAGACCAAGGAGGGGTGGCCCCGGGGGAACCGTGCAGATAGTGACCCAGAATTAGGCTCGGGCAGCCACATCTCTTTAAAACGTGAAGAAAGGCAGAGTTAGCTCCCTTTTATTTGTACCCGGACTCCTCTGACAGCGCATCTGCTTTGGCATCGAAGCCGCCTTCCTGACTGAAAGCCCGGCTGCGATGAAACGGCATCCTGTGAGGTTCGACAGCAGACACGGGAAACAGGAGGCAGGGCAGCCTGTCGGGTCCTCCAAGCTTTCCGTGGCTCCTGGCGTTGCTGGGGGTGAACGAGCCTTCTGCCACCAAGAAGGCCTTTACTCTTTAGTGTGATTTTATACTCCGGCTCTGGCAAAGTCAGGTGGTGTTCCTCTGTATTAATAGAATAATATGATTTTATTACGGGCACATTCTTGTTTAGAAAACCTGCATGTCTTTTGGAAGGACTCCCCTGTCCTTTTGTTCTTTTCTGCTGTCATGCTGTATTTAAATTCTAGCATTTATAGCAAATTGAGGCACTGTAAACTGATCTGCATCTTCTTGAAAGTGACTAAAACAAGCACAATTGAGATCTTGGGAGAATTACTCAATTACTGGATAGTTTTGCTTGTCCTCAAGAGTATTTTTGGAAGTAGCCAAGCATAGGTTTACCTCGTCCATCTCACAAGTGATTTTTATTTTATTTTATTTTTTGGTAGAGGAGGGACTCTTTAGATGTTCTTGTAGGAAATCATTATGTCATGAAATCACACATACTCTTCAGTTTGGGAAGATGTTTCATATCTCCATAATGTCAAATGAAAACATTTATTAGAATTGATGGGAGACCCTTAGCAATTAATACTGATGATTGGGACTTTGAGTTTCATTGATTTTTTTTTATTATCTTTCTCTGCAGTGAATTTAAACCGTCATGATCCCTTAGTCACAGCTTAACCTACCTTACAGTGATGTGCTCCGCAGCTCTGCACATGCAGGTGCTGTCCTGTGTGCTTTCTGGCATTTAATAAATCCTTGTACAAAAACTGCTTTTTCTCTCCTTTTAAACAAACAAATGGACAAATAGATCACCACCAGAACTAATTGTTTTCTGTTGCTTTCAGGACAAGCTGTTACAGGCAAAGAAAGAAATCGAAAAACACTCTATTAATGATAAACAGGTAAAGTCCCTGTGCTCATGATGCATTTTCTGTCTAATCAGCATGGATATGCAAAGGAAAAGACCGTGACTTCATCCGTGAATAGTTCATCAAAAGCACGTCAACTGTTCCTAGTTATATTGTTTTTAAAATGGTGAAATTGTTTGAATTGTCTTGGATTTCAGGTTATTACCAAAGCAATGCATAGATTCTAACACACATACACAAACACAGGTGATCTAATAACAGAATGCTTTCCTAGAAAATGATTTCAGTTATTTATTCAAATTAACATAAGGGAAAGGAGGTATTAAAAATACTTTTTGATTATGCAATTTTTTGATGAATGTAATGATATGTTTATGTATACAATATATTTATTTTAGAATAAAACATAATGATAAATTAATAGCCACACACTCATCACCCAACTTAAGAAATGGCACTTTCCGGGGCCCCTGAAATCTCCTGTTGGCCCACATCAGCCTAATCCTTCTGTCTCATTCCTAGAGGTAACCCCCAACTTGATTTTTATAGATTTTTTTTCTTTTGTTTTTTGGTTTTTTGGCTGTGCCACACAGCATGTAGAACTTTAGTTTCCTGACCAGGGATCTACCCGTTGCCCCTGCATTGAAAGTCTTAACCACTGGACCAACAGGGCGTTCCCTTCCGTTTTTTTTAAAATAATTTGACCATAAGTGCATGTAACCCTAAGAAGCGTATTGTTTACTTCTGCTGCTTTTTGAGCTTTATGGCATCATTCTTATTTTGATAGCTTTGTTGAGATAGAATTTCACATACCGTTTAGCTCACTGATTTAAGGTGTACAGTTCAGTGGGTTTTAGCATACCCACAGAGTTGCAGTTGTCACCAGAATCAGTTATAGACACTTTCCTCCTCCCGTAAGGAAGTCCACGTTCTTTAGCAGTCAGCCCTTGTTGTCTTCCAACCCCTCCCAGCCCTAGGCAGTCTCTAACCTATTTTCTCTAAGTTTATACAACGTCATTCTTTGCGTATTCTTAGGCAACTTGATCTCTTCACCTGATCTTGTTGTTAAAATTCCTCTCAGTTGCTGCATGAAGTAATCGTCCATTTTTTCTGCTGCCGTCTGGAGTTTTCTTGTATGTATAGACTGTCCTCCATTCATCACCTCTACTGTGGGGGGATATTTGGGTTGTTTCCATTGTTTTTCCAGTTTGCTTTCTTTCTTGCTATTGCTTAAGTTTATCTCTGTGCACTTTGTACAAGGATGGAATACACCTAGAAATGGAACCATTGAGTTGAGTGTGTGCATCACCAAAATGGCTACACTCCTGCCAGCAGTGAGTGCTTGCCAGTACTTGGTGTTAACAGACTTCCTAATTTTTGCTTTCCTGATGGGTTTTAAATGGTGTTTCACCGTCATTTTAATTGCCTCATTTTTTTCCCTCCAGAAATACATTAGAGAACTTTGTTGTTGTTGTTGTTGTTAAGTCGCTAAGTCATGTCCGATTCTTTGTGATTCCATAGACTATGGACTGCCGCACGCCAGGCTTCCCTGTCCTTCACTATCTTCTGGAGTTTGCTCAAACTCATGTCCATTGAGTCGATGATGCTAAGATGCTAAGGTGGTGAAGCAAAGAGAACTTTGCATGTCAGTCAGATAAATCTGCCTCATTTCTTAAAACTTCTGTGGCGTAATCCTGGGTGCCCCAGAGTTTACTGAATCAGTTCCCTTTTATTGGCTGTTTGCATTTTCTTCCTTTGCATTCCATGCTGCAAGCGGACGGCCTCACCCACCTCTGTGTGTGGGGGTCTTTCTCTAGCACCGGGGCCTCGTCTATACCCCTCCTCTGAGCCCACGGACGTTGGAAAGCTGCCAGCTCGGCAGGTCTCCCCAGTTTTGCTGTTTTGTTTCCCTGTCCCTGTGAGCTCTGGTAGAGAAGGGGCATCATCTAGAGCGCGGATCTGGAGCGTCCTGGTGAAGGCCAGTCTTGCTGACGCCGTGTCTGCTCCTTCTCCCGCCTCGTCAGCCCCGCTCTTCACCTGGCAGAAGCCTCGGCCGTGTGAAAAGCCCTTGACTTGCCCGTCCAGGACGGGAAGGTCCTCAGGGCCAGGGCGTGCAGGAGGGGCTGGGCGGTCTCCCTTCCCCAGCTGGCGTGTTTCTGCGTCGCATAAGCAGGGCCCTGGCGACATGCTTTTCCTGGTAGTTTGTTAATAGTTTTTTTTCCCCCCTGCCAAAAATTGCCCGCGTGTGCTGGCCGAGTTGCTTCAGTCGTGTCCCACTCTGTAGCCCCCCAGGCTCCTCTGTCCGTGGGATTCTCCAGGCAAGAACACTGGAGTGGCTTGCCATGCCCTCCTCCAGGGGATCTTCCAGACCCAGGGATCAAACCCCCGTCTCCTGCATCTTCTGCATTGTCCGCGGAGTCTTTTACGGCTGAACCACTGGAAGAACTGCCCTCCCATCCCCAGTTTGCCTCTCCTAATTGCATTGTCAGCAGGTTTCAAACCCTGCAATCGGAACATCAAACTGGACTCCTTATCTCCTGGAAAAAATTGCCTTTAATTTTTAAAAACAGTTCTTTTAAAGCCCTGCATAGCTTTGATCACTTTTTTCTCTTTCTGACAGGTGGTGCTGTGTATATCAGTTGATGTATCTCAAGACTATAGCCAAGTAGAGAACGTCATAAAACAAGTAAGAGGTTGGGTCAGTTGGACTTAATCCACTCGCCTTTTGATTGGTCCTTGCCAGTTTGGTGTGGGGCTTGGAGTTGGCATATCTTCCCTATAGGTCTAATAGTTTTATAGATTTTATCTATTGGCATTGATTGGCTACTAACGAATTCTTTGTTTTTCTTCCTTAATGCCCAATTTGATAAACTTCCAGGCTCAGGAGAAGTTGGGCCCGGTGGACATGCTTGTAAACTGTGCAGGAATGTCACTTGCAGGAAAATTTGAAGATCTTGAAGTTAGCACTTTTGAAGTAAGTAAAAATTTGTTTTTTTTTTCTTACTGTGGTATCCCCATACACTATGAGGGAGAACTAGTTTATGGCTGAAAGCTTTATGAATGAAATAGGTGAAATGCATTCCAGATTAACAGAAGCTTCAGCAAGCTAGAGGAAGGCTGGACAGGGTTTTAGTCCCAGTGACCATCCAGCCTTAGAAGTTTACACAGGCCTCTGGACTTTGGCTTCCTCAGCTGTAGAATGGGAATGCAGCCTCCAGCCTGACACAGTGAATCGATAGGAATTGATTTACTGAGGCCATACTATCAGCAGAGCTCCTTATAAGCCAAGAGAGATGCTGGGATAGGAACTGATTTACTGAGGCTGTACTATCAGCAGAGCCCCTTGGAAGCCAGGAGAGATGTGGGTTTCTTGTCAAGTACCAGTGTTTTTAACAATGAAAACCCGAAAAAGTTGAAAAGCAGACTCTGGCATTCTCAAGCCAAGAGAAAAAGACAATGTGTCATATTTATGTTTGTGTTTTTTAAAAACGTCAGCCAAAGAAGTGTACAACAGACTTGGTGAAGTTAGGGTGCGCTCCCTTTTATGGAAGAGGAGACTCCCCTAGCAGCAGTTCAGACGTCCTGCTCTGGCAGGCTGGGGGAAGCACTGTAAACTCTGCGATTTCAAGTCAAGCTGTGCAAGTCCAGTGGAGGCAGAAGCAGAGTGATGCCTTAGCTGGGACTCTGGTGTCGGAAGGCTTCTTTATCAGCTCGGCAGAAAAGATAGCTGTTGGGTCAGGACTTCCCTGGTGGTCCAGTGGTTACGACTCTGCCTTCCGAGGCAGGAGCTGTGGGTTCGATCCCTGGTCTGGGAACTAACACTCTGCATGCCACTCGGCACAGCCAAAACGGTGGGGGGGTGGAATCGAAAGAGAGATGTCTTGACCTATATGCCGTTATCTCTAGGTATTGACAGGGAGATTTTGAAGATTATCTCAATGGCTGTGTGAAGAATTAGTTGGAGCAAGTAGTTGTAGTCTAGGCATGAAGTGATGAGGGGAAAGACTTCAGAGGTGGCTGGTGAAAGAGAAGTGTGAGTGTATGTGCCTGTGTGTGGAAGATGGTATGAAGGGAGGTCAGCAGACTCCTTGGGCGACTGTGGATGGCAGAGAGGACAGGTGTGTAAGGGTCTGTGTGGTGGCAGCACAGAAGCTCACAGCTGTGTGGCCGGGCATCGGGAAGCAGAGTCTGTCCGGGCGGAGCGGGAGGGTCCCTGCATCCGTGTCTAATGGAAGTCTGGAGGCAACTGAGTCAAGGATTTGTGGGGGTCATATCTGAGCAAGAGCAGAAGGAACTGAGCACTTAAGGCCAGGTGACTGCGGACCTGCCCTGGCAGTCCTGGTCAAGACTCCATGCTTCCACTGCGGGGGTCATGGGTTTGAGCCGGCCAGGGGCTAAGATCCTGCCTGCCTTGTGGCATGGTGTAAAAAAAAAGTTCAGGCAGCTGCAGGTGGGTGTCAGTGACAAGGAGAAAACACGAAACGGGTGAGATGAAGGAAGAAATATAGCACACACATAGAATATGACGTATGCTGCAATATTTAAGTAATGCGTGAATCTAATCTTTTAAAAAAACACTTTATTCTCAACCCGTCTCCCATTACACTGTCTCCTTCCCTCTGTCTCTCTCACTTTGTTTGAAAAGCAGCCACAGTCCGTTCCTTTTGCACCCCCCGCCCTGCACCATCCCCACGCCAGCACCTCTGCGTGAGAGCTGTTCGTCACTCTGCCCAGCAGTGGTGTCGTGAGGGCTCCTCTCGTTGAGGCGCGTGGGCTCAGGCGCTCCACAGCATGTGGGGTCTTAGTTCCCTGAGCAGGGATCAAACCCATGTCCCTACATTGCAAGGCGGATTCTTAACCATCGGGCCCCCAGGGAAGCCCCAGTAGGAGTTATTTTTGATTGGGACTGCACTGACATTATAGATACATGTGAGGGAAACTGACATCTTAACAATATTTGGTCTTCTAACCCATAGAACATAATATATGTCTCCATTTATTTAAGTTTTTAAAAGAATTATCTCAATTGTGTTTCATAATTTTCAGTATGTGGAGCTCACATACTATTTTTCAGTATTTTATATTTTTTGATGTTAGTGTAAATGGTTTTTTAATTTCAATTTCTTGAGTTTTCATTGCTCATGTATAAAACGGCAGTTGATTTTTGTGTTTTGATTGTGCAGTGCTGCTGAATTCAACTATTAATTCTAGTGTTCACTGGGCTTCCTACATCCAAGATCATGTCATCTGCAAGTCTTACCTCTTCCATTGCTATCTAGATACGCTTATTCCGTGGGCTGGAACTTCCAGTGCAGTGTTGACTAGCTGTGGCCAAAGTAGAAGTTTTTGTCTTGTTCCTGACTTTAGGGAGAAAGCAGTTAGTCTTTTGTTCTTAAGTATGATGTTAGCTGTAGTTTTGTTTGTTTATTTTTGGTAGATGTCCTTTATCAAGTTTAGCAGTTTATCCTAATTTGCTGAGAGTTTTTATATGAAATGGATATTTAATTTTGTCAGGTGCTTTTTCTGCATCCACTGGGATGATCATAGAGTTCTTTTTTAGTGTGCTAATATGGTGAATTACACTGATTAATTTCCAGATGTTTCCAGCCTTGTGTCCCTTTGGTCAGGATGTGTTATCCTTTCTGTGTTCTTGAGGGATATTAGCTGTAACGCTTTGTAATGTTACTTTTTGATTTTGTTTAAGAGTCAAGGTGGCCTCATAGCATCAGTAGAGGAACAGTCCCTACTTATCAGTTTTCTGGAAGAATTTGTGAAGAATTGATTTATTTTTCCTTAAATGCTTGGTAGAATCCACCGGTGAAGCCGGAGATTTTCTTTGTGGGAAGGTTTTAACTTTAATTTCTGTAATAGATGTAGTGTGTGCCTGCTAAGTCGCTTCAGCCGCATCTGGCTCTCTGCGACCGCAGGGACTGGGGCCTGCCAGGCTCCCCTGTCCATGGGATTCTGCAGGCAGGAGTGCTGGAGTGGGTTCCCACGTCGCCCAGCGGTGGAAGGTGTCTCCTCCCAGCCTCCTGCGTTGCGGGCGGGTTCTTTACCTCTGGCGCCACCTGGAGGGCTTCCCGCATAGCTCAGCCTGACACGCAGGAGGCAGGGATTCCACCTGGGAGCCTCTATTCTTTTTTGTTTTATATTGCACCTGGTGATAGACCTAGTTTTTTATAAGGCTTTTAATGTAGAAGGGTTGTAATGCAGTATCATGGGACTTTCAGGTTGAAAATGTAAAAGTTTTCAAGAGTTCCCAGGATGAGGGCAAAGGAGACCCTTGTTACCTGTGCGGTCCTCCGCCATCATGAGAGCCCACATATACTGGGTAGTTATTGCGGGTGGGGCTGGGGGGGTGTTTACCTTCTGTTTCCCCTTCCAATTCTTGCGGCAGGCCTGTGCAGTCACACCATGCGAGGAATTAAGTAGAGTATCCGACTTTGCCGTTGATCCTCAAATAGGCGTGAAAGGTAGAGCCCGGCCCTACAGTCTGCACTCCTAACCCTGCCCTGGCCTCTGTGGTCTCTCACAGTTCCAAGTATTTCCAAGCTGGAAATATTTAGAAGCTCTTTGCTCAGACTGTCTCTCAAAAGGATTACCTGCACCGTGCGGTGTACTTTTTCTAAGGAGAAGACTAATTTGGCCAGGCTTTAGCAAAGACCTAAGTGCTGTTGTGAGGACGTGAGGTTAGAGTGAAACAGGAGATTGAAATAGGCACTCACAGGCGGACACAGGGGAGGGGGGTGACCTGGGGGTTGAGCCTGACGTGTACCTGCACCGCCCTGTGTGGGCCAGGGAGTGAGCTCGGTGCTCAGTGATGACCCCGGGGGCGGGCTGTGCGTTTGCACGGAGCTGATTCCCTCTCTTGTACAGCAGAAACCAGCGACATTGTGAAGCAACTGTACGGCAGCAAAAAAAGAGGGAGAGAGAAAAGAAGCGGGCCCCCAGCGGGGAGCCCTGTGCATCACGGTCACTTCCAGGACCCTTTAGTTCCTGTTTGTTCAGCAGCTCCACAGAGCACCCAGTGACCCCGGCTCTGGCTCAGGGCGGGTGCCCGAGGGGCGCGCCGGTGACTTGGGGCGGGTGCCCATGCTGCGCGCCCTGCTCGGGCTCCAGGCCTCTTTGTTCCCTGCAGAGGCTGATGAGCGTCAACTACCTGGGCAGCGTGTACCCCAGCCGGGCGGTGATCGCCACCATGAAGGAGCGCCGCGTGGGCAGGGTCGTCTTCGTGTCCTCCCAGGCCGGGCAGCTGGGCCTGTTTGGGTACACAGCGTACTCTTCGTCCAAGTTTGCCATCAGGGGACTGGCGGAGGCTTTGCAGATGGAGGTAAGAGCGTCTTCACTTTTAGGTGACTCCTTTCAGCCCAGCGGGACATGTTCCCCTTTAGTTTGTAGCTTTCTTCCTCCTGTCATTGTGTGAAACTAGAGCTTCGTAGATCTGTCTTCAGTGTAAGAGAACTGACTCCACCCATGAATTTGCAGTTATCCTGTTTTTATTGCATAAAAGATCATAGGTGTCAACAGAAGCAGGATGGCTGTGAGGTATTTGGCTTGCTTAATTTAATACATAGTTTGCTTCTGAACTGTGGTGTTGGAGAAGACTCTTGAGAATCTCTTGGACTGCACGAGGATCCAACCAGTCCATCCTAAAGGCAATCAGTCCTGAATATTCATTGGAAGGACTGATGCTGAAGCTGAAACTCTTTAATACTTTGGCTGCCTGATGCAAAGAACTGACTCATTTGAAAAGACCCTGATGCTGGGCAAGATGGAAGGTGGGAGGAGAAGGGGACAACAGAGTATGAGATGGTTGGATGGCGTCACCAACTCAATGGACATGAGTTTGAGTAAACTTCAGGAGTTGGTGATGGACAGGGAAGCCTGGCGTGCTGCAGTCCATGGAGTCACAAAGAGTCAGAAATGACTGAGCGACTGAACCTAACTTAACAGTACTAACATCTTGATAGTATTACAGGCAGATGGCAGAGCTCTTGTGTTTCAGACATCTGCAATAAAGTGAGTATCACAATAAATCGAGTTACATGAATGTTTTGGTTTCCCGGTGCGTATAAAGGCCATGTTTACGCTATGCTATGCTGTTAAGTGTGCAATAACATTAAAAGAAACAATGTACATTCCTTAATTAAAAAGTACTATATTGCTCAAAAATGTTAACCATCTTCTGAGCCTTCAGTGAGTCTTAGTAGGAACATCAAAGATCACTGATCTCAGAACACCATAACAAATACAGTCATGATGAAATGTTTGAAATATTGGGAGAATTACCAAAATGTGTCACAGAGTCATGAAGTGAGCAACTGCTGTTGGAAAACTGATGCCAATAGACTTGCTCAGTGCCAGGTTGCCACAGACATTCATTTGGTAAAAAATACAGTATCTCTGCATGCGTGCTAAGTCACTTCAGTCATGTTCGACTCTGTGCGACTGCATAGACTGCAGCCCGCCAGGCTCCTCTGTCCATGGGATTCTCCAGGCAAGAACACTGGAGGGGGTAGCCGTGCTCTCCTCCAGGGGATCTTCCTGACTCAGGGATCGAACCCTTGTCTCTAATGTCTCCTGCATTGGCAAGTAGGTTTTTTACCACTCTCACCACCTGGGAAGCTCGTATCTTCAGTATGTAAAAAATGCAGTATCTATAAAGTGCAATAAAGTAAAACACAATAAAATAACTATGTCAGACTTCCCTGGTTTTCCAGTGGTTAAGACTCCAAGCTCCCACTGCAGGCAACTCAGGTTCAATCCCTGGTTGGGGAAGCTCCACATGTTGCACAGTGTGGCCAAAAAATAAAAATAAGAAAGATGCACCTTGATTAAAAAAATAATAATAATAAATAAAAATCTTAAAAAACCCAATAAGCTGTGACTATTGACCTAATACTGTGTGAGTATGCATAAGGGTAACCAGATACTTTATTCTTTTTTTTTTTTAATCATTGTTCTTTAACACTCTTCAAAGATATTTCTTTAATGAAAAGATCCATCCTTTATGCATGCATATTAAGGTGTTCAGTCCTGTCCGACTCTTTGCAACCCTGTGGATTGTAGCCTGCCAGGCTCCGCTGTCCATGGGGATTTCCCAGGCAAGAACACTGGGGTGGGTTGCCATTTCTTCCTCCAGGGAATCTTCCTGACCCAGGGATCAAACTTGCATCTCCTGCGTTGGCAGGCAGATTCTCTGCCACCGAGCCAGCTGGCCTGACTAAGGAAATGAGCCTATGTGACTAATAAAAGAGCTACTGTGGAGCTCTCAGTTTTTAGACAAATCATTTAACTTGATCTCATCATCCTTATTGGTAAAAATGAGAATAAGACTTGGACAAAAATTTGCACTTGACTCTCCTAATACTTATGTTTTAATATCCTAAAGAAATATTGATGAACAGGAGTGCTTTTTATCTTCATAGTTAATAGAACGTGTCATGGAAGGAGGTGGTGGTTAGGATCCACATTGAATAAGCGCCTGTCAGATGTATGCAGCCTCCCTCCTCATCTGTGAAGTAGACTTCGGTGCCTCTGTCATCCGGGGAGGCTTAGAGAGCATTGCATGGGTCTTTCCAAAACCATGTACTTTAAGGCGAAATTCTTTCTAATTCTGTATATAGTTGGCCTTGAACATCACGGATTTGAACTGCACAGGTCCACTTGTAAGTGGCGTTCTTCCAATAAAGATGATAGAGCTACCTGATCTGACGTTGGTTGAATCCTCAGATGCTGCACCGTGGGTGTGGAGGGCCCCTCGGAAAGCTGAATGTGGATTTTTAAATGTGGTCATGCAGGGAGTCAGTGTCTCTGCCCGCCACATTGCTCAGGGGTCAGCTGTACGCTGAAATGTCGCACCACCCCATGGTGTTAAAAGCCCGGAAGAAAATCAATTGTGGCCATTTCTCTTATTGGGGAAGGAAATGGCAACCCACTCCAGTATGCTTGCCTGGGAAATCCCATGGACAGAGGGGCCTGGCAGGCTGCAGTCCTTGGGGTCGCAAGGAGCTGAACACGACTCAGCAACTGAACAATAGCAGCGACAGTCCTCCTACAGGAAGGGTGTGGTTTGAGGGTCTCATTTCGTGATTTAGATTAGGAGTGGATACTTTTTTTTTCCCCCCCTCAAAGCATCAGAGTGAATGTTTTAGCCTTTGAGGCTAGATGGTGCCTGTCAGAACTACTCAGATCTCCTATGATAGCAGGAAAGCAGCCTTGTGGGAGGTTTAAATAAATAGGTATGGATGTGTGCCAATATATCTTTATTCATAGAAACAGGTGAAGGGCCAGATTTGGTCCTCAGGCCATAGCTGGCCGACCCCTGATTCAGAAAGCCCCCAGAGAGCCCTGAGTGCTGCTGAACGGAGTGGCGCGCTGCCCCGGGACTGGATGAGCCCCGCGACAGACTGGGCTGTCTCGTCTGGTCAGCGAAAGTCCCCGCCGGCCTCTTCGGGACCAGCACGCTGTGCTTGTCTCATCCCACAGGAGTCAGCCACAAATTTCTTTTTCATCAATGTGCTTGATATGCTTAGTCGATAACAGGTCGCTGTAATGTATGCTTAGCCAGTGGGGCAGGTATGACTGTGAAATTTCCAACAAGAACACCAGTAATTTCTTTTGTAGCTTTCACTCTGATACATCCCTTTATGAATAACCATCTTCTTTTATAACAGTTTCGTGAAATACATAAGGCAGGTGTCTTGTGCAGCCTTCTAGATAATAAAACTGAGTTTTCCAAAATTCCGTAGGGTTGCTGAAAGGTAAATCGTGACTTTATAACAGAAATAGTAACAAAGTCTGTGCCTTTTGGTTCTGCCTTTCACCTGCCTGTCTGCTCTAGAATGTGTCTGTAATTCAGGTCAGGGTTGCCTCAGTCCTTCCCGTTGGTCTCAGAAACGCAGCAGGAGAAGGCACGTTTTGGGATTGAAAGGCCTGTGCACAAAGGACTTTTGTCCCCAAGTCTGCCTCACAGAAGGACTCCAAGAGCCACTCAGGGCACATGTCTGATCTGCGTGGCCTGGCGCCCTCTTGGGCAGAAGGACGATGCCGGTAAAGAAGAGGGCGGAGACCGGAGCTGCCACTCTGGCTGGGGCCCCGGAGCCTCTTGGTGGCGCGTGCGATTCACAGGCTGCAAGTGGCCGGTCTGGACCTGCCAGTCGGCCTAACTTCGCTCCACATTTGGACTCCATTAAAATGTCCTCACATAAGCAAAAACTAAAATCAACATGTTCCATGGAAAATAGAGTTGAGGGGAAGTAAGTTCAGTCATCACAATCTAGCATGTTCGTAGCAGAACTTCCCCCAATACAGTTGTCTCTTCACAAACTTACACTGTTGTGTCCTTGTTGGTCTGCTTAGCCAAGGTGGTTTTGTGTTTTTGTGAATGAAACGTTCTGTACGTCAGACTCTTAAGTGCCTGTGATTATTGTCTCTGGTTTAATGAGCTCTTAAATCTTTCTCCACCACACTCTTGCTCCTAAACTAAAGTTGGATCTAGAAATGCTTTATGTGCAATGACTAAATTTGGAAGAATGCTTTGTTGGCATTTTTTTGCTTTCTTTTTTAAACTCAGTCTTTTAGGTATAAAGACATCACTTAAAGATTTTAGAAGTTGTTCTTTTAGGAAAGCAGACTTTTGAGTTGGGAGCGTAGCCACAGATACAGCAGCAGAGACCAAATAAAAGAAATCTAGGTGTCCCACTTTCTACGTCCCTGCTCCTGATCACCCCCCACCCCCTCCCTCATCTTTTCTTGCTCAAAAGGAAGCTGAAGCTTAAGTTCTGGAGCTTCACTGTCAACAGCTCTAATGCTTTCTCCCGCTCCTAGGTCTTTGTCTTTGCTCTTCTTTTTTAATGGTTGTCACTTTGTTCGGCTGTGTCGGGTCTTCGCTGCGGCAGGAGGGCTCTCTGGTTGCGACCTGCAGGTTCAGTGGTTGCAGCTCCACTTCGCTGCCCCGCAGCAGGGATTGCGGTCCCCGAGCAGGGATGGATCCGAGAGCCCTGCGTTGGGAGGCAGGTTCTTCACCCCGGGACCCCCAGGAAGTTCCTCCCTGCTCTCTGCCCTTGTCTTTGCTTTGATGGGATGAGGAACAGCATGCCTTTAGGTGAGATTGTTTGGGTAATAAATTAGGTCTTGAGTAAGTGGGCATCTTTGAGAGTCCAGGTGGAAGGGAGGAAATGATGGTAGGGTGGGACCAGGCAGAGCTGGGGTGGAGGAGACAGAGGAGTCGGTCAGCAGGGCCAGGGAGACGCAGACAGTGGCTAAACAGAATCAGTGCAGTCCTGGCTTAAATTCTTCGCAGAAGTGGTCTTGAGGGGTTAGCACTGTCTTAGCAAGAACCAGTGAGGCCACAGTACCATCATTTCCTTTTCTGCGGGGGTCTGGGGTGGCACGTGTCCCCTGCATGTGGATCTTCAGGCTGTGAGCTTTCAGAGAGGCGCACGTGCCTTGGCGCGTCTGGTCTGCACGCTGTGAGTGAGGTCGTCCCTGGCCCTCCATCCCCTGCTGGCGATCCTTCAGCTTGCCGTCTCCCACCCCTCCTCCTCGCTCCATCAGAGACGCTCCTTGCTGTTCACGCAGTGCCAGCCCCTGTGTGCCAGGTGTTGCGCTGTACTTCAGTACTTTCCAAGGTGCTGTGCTGTGAGATTAAAGTGTTTTATTTTTTTATGTATCATTTTTGAAAAGTATTATATACCTATCACAGTACAGCGCTACATAGCCGATTGTGTTGCTTGAGTACCTGGGCTAACATCATTGGACTTAGGAACAAATTGCACTTAAGCGAACTCGCTTAGCGTGGAGCTCATCCGTATGTAGGAGGTTTACTGTAGTTAATTAAATCAAGGTGTGGTGTCACTTTGGGGGGCTTCCCTGGGTTCACATGGTAAAGAATCCACCTGCAGTGCAGGAGATCACCTCCAGCACAGGAGACCAGGGTTCGATCCCTGGGTCTGGAAGATCCCCTGGAGGAGAAAGTGGCTACCGTCTCCAGTGTTCTTGCCTGGAGAATCCCATGGACAGAGGAGCCTGGTGGGCTTCAGCCCATGGGGTTGTAAGAATCAGACACAACTTAGCAATTAAACCACAACCAGAGTTAAGTTTATTTAGATTTTCACAGATTATTTGACCAGGAGTTTCCGGAGCCTGTAAGCTCCATGAGGGCGCAGAAATAACGCGGCGGTGTCTGTTGGGCTGCTGCTGTGTTCGGTTGCTCAGTCGTGTCCAGCTCTTGTGACCCCGTGGTCGCGACGGGCCAGGGTCTCTTGTCCTCCACGGTCTCCTGGAGTTTGCTCACTGACTCACGTCTGTTGAGTCAATGATGCTATCTAACTGTCTCACGTTCACTTGCTGGATAAATAAATACCGTGGGGACTTCCCTGGTGGTCCGGTGGCTGAGTCTCGGAGCTCCCAACATAGGGGAAAGTGTGTGTCTCTCAGTCGGGTCCAACTCTTTGCAAGCCTGTGGACGGTAGCCCGCCAGGCTCCTCTGCCCATGGGATTTTCCAGGCAAGAACACTAGAGTGAGTCGCCATTCCCTTCTTCAGGAGATCTTCCCGACCCAGTGATCAAACCCAGGTCTCCTGCATTGCAGGCGGATTCTTAACTGTCTGAGCCCCCATGGAAACCCCGAGATTTGGCACAGCCAAATAAACAAACAGACATTAAAATACATAAATACAGTGGTTAAGTTCATAGCCACTGGAGGTATCCAGCCATAGGCTGAGAGGGTCATTTGGCTCCAGGATTATACCGAGGATACCAGTACTTAGAAAGGGGTTGGACTGGTTTCTCCCAACCACCCCCCCGCCGCCCACCCCCACCCCCCAGAAAAAGCCGTTCTGAAAAGCGGTAAGCTTTTCTGGCAGCTCGGCCGTAACCTTGAATTGGAGAAACACTGCTCTGACATCCTGCCATGGAGCTTACAGCACCACCATCCTGGCCCATCGTGGGGGGCAGGAGGACTATCCCTGCAGCGGCCGCGTCCGAGCCTCCAGCTTCAGGCTTCGGGCAGGCTGTCTGATTCCCGCCTACTGATGTTTTTTTTGATGGCAGTCGTGTTCTTCTCCAGTCTGTGCACAGCAGAGGGCAAGGCCGTGGGAGACACTTTCTAAAATCGCCATCATAAAAACAAGTGGAAGAGAAATTGCTTGCTCATCAGCCTCCCTGCCTGGCCCGAGTCCAGAGCTGTTATGAACTGGGCCTTCAGGCTGCCTGCCCCGCGACGCTGAGCAAGCGCGCCTCACGCCTGGATGTCCAGAGCCCCGCCACTGGGGACCTTGTCCCCTGCTGGTGCCCCTCCCAGGCTGAGCGGTTCGGCTCCTCGCCCCTGCAGCTCCTTCCTCGGCCTCCAGGGCCGCGCTTCACGGAGGGAAGCAGGGGGAAAAAGGCCAGGTGTCAGACAGGGCCCCGGAGTGCTCCAAGGTGTCGTGTGACTCGCCTGTCAGCCCCCATGAAATGCGCGGGGGCCTCCCTCAGGGCCAGCTGTCCGGGTCCCCTCGGTGTTTCCGTGGGACTCGGCAGTGAGCTGGCAGCAAGCAGAGCTGTGGCCGAGGTTCTGCAGGTTTGAATCACCACCCCCTTGGCGTCACTGAACCTCAGGGGTGTGCAGCAGGGGTCTGTGGGGGGCCGCATCCCAGCCGGGGGGCAGCACGACCTTGGGGGTCGGCGATGTGTTCTGAGTGGAGAGGTTCGGGGGGGACACCCAGCAGAGAGGGAGCCAAGCCTGGGATCCTGGTGGAGTTCGGGCAGGGGTGCTGGAAGGGGAGCTGGGAAGGAGTTTCCATGTTTAGATGCGGGTGAGGTTGTCCTGGTCTGACTTGGGGGGACCCCCGAGGAGCACCCTGTTGGCTGAAGAAGTGAGCCCTGAGCCCTCCCTGGCGCTGGGAACTCCTGGACCTGCAGACTCTCCACCTGGGTCTGGGGCAGAGGGCAGGGGTTTGAATGGTCTCAGCCTGTATCGTAGGTGAAACTAGCAGAGTGGTAGTTTGGGAAGCACTGTGGAGAGCAGCTTTGCAGCCTGATGGCCAAGGGACAGACTTGCCCGTGGCCGTGGCCGCCGTGCTGAGGGGTCGGGGGACGAGTGGGCTTCCTTTAAGCACTATCTGCTGTCCTCAGGCAGCTTCCAGGCCCTGGTCAGTGGGGGCAAAAGAACCCTAGAAGGAGGCGAATGAACCTCTGTAGTTCAGGGCCCACTGTTTTCTGGAATAGAGGCTCAGGTGAGCTCTTTGACTTTATTTCTGAATGATCTTCAGGGCCAAGAGTTTCCTGATTCAGCCGGTGGTAGGGACTTCTCTGGTGTCTCAGTGGGTAAAGAACCCGCCTACAGTGCAGGAGACGAAAGAGACACAGGTTTGATCCCTGAGTGGGTAAGATTCCCTGGGGGAGGAAATGGCAACCACTCCAGTCTTCTTGCCTGGAGAATCCCATGGACAGAGGAGCCTGGCGGGCTACAGCCCATGGGGTTACAAGGAGTCAGACACAAGTGCGCACGCACACATCGCTCCTCTTACAGAATCACCCTGTTGGTTTCACCACCTCTGGAGAAGATCAGGGCTGCGTGTAGACGGTCTGCCTGGTAGCCAGTGTGGGTTGATGAGGGAGGATGCAAAATTGTATTGTTTTACTAAAGGGCCCGATGTTGTCTCTGAACTGCAGGTGAAGCCTTACAATGTGTATGTCACAGTTGCCTACCCACCAGACACAGACACCCCCGGGTTTGCAAAAGAAAACCAGACCAAGGTCAGTATGGTTCCCGGCCCTGTTTCCAGGCTCGAACGTTGGAAACCCCTTTTCCCTGTTTTCTGTCTTTCCACCCTTCAGCTTTCAGGCATTTTCGTCATAAGATTGAGCTGCTTTCAACTTACGTGCTTGCAAGAGGCTTCAGAACTTTCTGGAACTTTCATCTGAAATCTTGGAGGCTATAGCCCTGTTTTCTTTGGGGTTTTTTTGGCAGTGCCACACAGCTTGTGGGAATCTTAGTTCCCAAACTAGGGATTGAACCCAGGCCCCTGCAGTGGAAGTGTTGAGTCCTAACCACTGGACCAGGAGGAAAGTCCTGGTGTGACCCTGTTTTCAAAGGCCATTTTTGCTAAGAATCTTCAGGCTTGATTTAACGAATAAGGTGTTTTCTTTCTGATGCAGAATACAGCTTGTATTTTTAACTAACAAGTAATAGACCTTGGCTTCCCAGATGACGCTTGTGGTAAGAACTGGCCTACCAATGCAGGAGACTTAAAGAGACGTGGGTTCAGTCCCTGAGTGGGGAAGAATTCCATGGACAGAGGAGCCTGGTGGGCTCCGACATGACTTAGTGACTTAGCGTGACACATAATACTCTTTAATGATAATATTTTCTCCTCTGGACTTAATTTCATTTAAGGACTCCAGTGGTTGCTGATCCATTGTCTCTACCTGGAGGTCTAATGGGTGCCTCAGACGTAACATTTCAAAAACAGCACTTTCAGTTCCCTCTCGCTCCTCCTTGCTATTTTCCATCTCGTTTCTGGTGCCCAGCATTCTCTCAGCGGCTCAGGCTGGAAACCCTGCAGCCAGCCGTGATGCCTCCACACTGGGCTCTGCTCTCAGGACCTATCCCCAGTCGGACTTCTTTAAACTGCAGATGTCACTACTATCCCAGCAGTGTGAGTCACCGATATTTTCTCCCAAACTGCTCTAATGGCCTTCAACTTGGTCTACCTGCTCCTAGTTCTTACCCCCTAGAGTCTTTTGCATAGTATAGCTAGTGATCCTTTTAAAGGACAAGTCAGCTCTTGTCACTCCCCTGTTCATACCCCTCTGTGAGTAAAAAGCCAAAAAACAAAACCACAAAAGACCAAAAACCCTTGTGCAGCATGGTCTGATAGAATGTTCTAGAATGGTGGGAATGATCCATGTCTGCAGCTTTGTAATGCAGTCACATTGTGGCTGTTAAACGCTTGCCGTGCCACTAGTGGGACCGAGACGCGGAATGTCTAATTTTATTTCATTTGAAGCTAGAATTAAATTCCATATGGTGGTGGTAATAGCATTCTGCAGCGTGCGGCTCCCCGGGCTCCCAGCTTGCTGGGGGTAGAAGCCAGGGGCCTAGAGCCGTTTAGGTCCCCATCTAGACCCCGGCCACTCGTTTTCTCGGCTTCAGCCACCCGGAGCTCCGTCTGCCCCCTGAGCCTGCTGGCCAGTCCCGCGCGTGGGCTGCGCTCTTGCCGCCCTCTCTCTGGGTGTTCGAGTGGACCTTCCCCCTGTGTTTCTTTTCGCCTCTGTGCAGCCGTCACCCTGGAAAGGACTCCCCTGACTTCCTGCGTCTCAGCGTCCCCCCACGGGATGCTTACCATCCTCCGCCGGCCCTTATCGTCCTCCACGGCGTTTTCTCGCCTCTGGACTTCAATACAATGCCTGTCAGTCATCCCGAGCCGAAAGCAGGCTCTGTGCTTTGTTCACGGGACCCTGCCTTGACACAGAATAGGCACTCTGAGCAAAGTGGGGAAGAAAGGAATCAGTCAGAACTCCCCCCTTTGAACTTGGTGTTGATTGGTTTTCTTCTCTTTTGTAGTGATTCTCACTGAGTGTGAATCTGCACCGCATAAAAACCAGCCCTGAAGCTCCATGGGCCGTGATTTTCAGAAAGATGTCTATGGTTTAGAAGCTTTTCCCCCTATTCATTTCTTTTTGACTCTGCTTCTTAAAATGACTACTATTTCAAAGAAATAAATTTAACCTGAATGCCCTGTTTTAGAATAAGGGAAATCTGCTAAGCAGATTTGCAACATTTGATAAGTGGTCTTTTAGGTAGAAGCCAGAGCTGACAACAGGTGGTGATTCCTCCGGGAAGATCTGCCTCCGATGTTAAATGGTTTTTGTTTTTCCTGCGCTAGAACGTCGGGCGGACTTCTGTGGGTAGATGCCGTTCGGCCTTGCTCCGTGAGTCCTGTGGGCGGCGCACAGTGCTTGGACGCCTGCCGCACCTGGTCCCGCCCTCGGGGACCTGGGGGAGTGGTGCACCTCCAAGAGCACTTTTCTCTTAATTCAGGTTCATCAAGAAACACTTGACTTTTATGAGCTCTACGCTTTTCTATCTTAAGGAAATAAGTTCTGGTTTTTATTTTATTTTTTTCAAGCCCACATGGTAAATAAAATTTATCGTACCATTTAAGGCTTAAGTTTTGAAACTTCTAACTGAAACTCCCTTCTAAAGAATTTTTGAGCACATGGGTTGCATGTTGCTCCAAAGATTTACAAATAAAAAGACAAGGCAGGGTCTTTTTTTTTTTTTCTTCCATATTTTAAATGAAGCTCTGACGTTTCTCACTGAAATCAGGACTCACATCCACAGAGAGTAACTGGGGAGCTCGGGGGCTAAATTTTACGCAGTAACCAGGTAGAAACTGATCTGGAATCCAGATGGACTTAGTCTAAAGTTAGGAATCTGTTCTAAGATAGAAAACTAGAATTATGTATAAATTAGGGGAGGAGGACTGTCAAAATTATTTACTTTTTAATGCAGTGGGTATTGATAATGTCTATTTTTTTTCACCTTTTTAGCCTTTAGAGACACGTCTTATTTCAGAGACCACATCGGTCTGCAAACCAGAACAAGTGGCCAAACAAATTGTTAAAGACGCCATAGTAAGTAAAACCCTTGTTCCTTTGTTAATTGTTACAGTACTGTATTTCCAAAAAGGTGTTTGTCTCAGGGTTTATTTCAAAATATAAAATTACTAGCATTTTGTGTGTGTGTACACTTAAATTCATCATATCTAATATCATAGACTGTTCTTTTCTTCCCTGGTTAATTCCATGTTAATTAATAAGTTCTGGAAACTAGTTATATATCTTTTTTTTTTTTAATTTAACTCTTTGGTCGCACTGGGTCTCTGTTGGTGCGTGTGGGCTTTCTCTGGTTGTGGCGAGCGGAGGCTCCTCTTCCTTGTGCTGCAGAGGCTGCTCCCCGTGGAGGCCTCTCTGCTGAGGAGCGTGGATGCTCCAGGCGCCCCGGCTCCTGTCGCTGTGGCTCCCGGCTCTGGAATCTGGGCTCAGCAGTTGTTTGCACACAGGCTTAGTTCCTCTGCGGCATGTGGGATCTTCCCGGACCAGGGATCGAACCCGTGTCCCCTGCACTGGCAGGCGGATTCTTACGCACTGGACCACCAGGGAAGTCCCATAGCTGTATTTCTTAATCTTAGGAGCAGTTAATCAGTCTGAGAACCTTAGTTCTTTGAAAGGAAAACGAGATTTACCTGTGATATGTAAACGGTTTGCACTATAGACTGTGTTTGGCATGTTGTCATCTTCCTTCTCTGCCACAGTATTTTTAATTCTAGATTATTTTAGGTGTCTTGCTGCCACACTGGTTAAGGATTTTCATTTCCCTTTCCTGCTTCCCAGTATCGTTTTCCCAAATGTTCACTAACGAGAAAGTGCTGCTGGCCCCCTCAGCCGTTGTCCTGTCAGCTTGGCTGGTGTCCTTTCACGTTCTGGAGTTTATTCAGAGTCCAAATGGTCTTTCTCGAAACCAGCTGCTGTTCTGTAGGACGATGTATGGGCCACAAGCTTTTTGGCAGCATTCCTGTTAACCCACATGCAGAAAAATATACATGCCCAGGGGACATGTAAACATGCATGTCATCCTTAGGCCCATGTTGGATTTAGGAAACTTGGGGACAATTGGAACAAGAGGTGTTGGCTGGCTGGACCTTGGCCTTGAAGGAACGTCCGTTGCTTGTTTAGGCCGAACCCAGCAGACTACAGGAAGCCTTGAAGGCTATTAAAACATCTGCGGACGTGGGAAGCACTTTGCCCTGATTGTGTTCAAAGGCGTAGGAAGATGGCACCAGTGGATTGGGCGGACTTTGTTTTTCCTGCTTATCTGAAGTCAAAGCAAACACACTCCATGTTTTTAATGATTCGAAGCAGCTCTTTGTATTTTGGCAGGATTCCTTTAAACTGGAGGTTCTCACGCTTTTTTCGTCTCTTGAGCACTTTCCACCCTAAACTTGTCCACGACCCCAGAGAACTTTTGGTTCCATGGCTTATCCTTATCAATATTTGCTACATCAGAAAGTGAAACTGTGTCATTTTAAAAAGATTTATTTATTCATTTAAAATGACGATACCAGAGGGATGGGATGGGGAGGGAGGTGGGAGGACAGGGAATACATGTAAATCCATGGCTGATTCATGTCAATGTATGGCAAAAACCACTACAATATTGTAAAGTAATTAGCCTTCAACTAATAAAAATAATTGGGGAAAAATAAAATAAAATGACAATGATAAATTCAGTGTATTTTACTGTAACATTTTTATAACAAAAAGTTATTTTTCAAAACAAAACTTAGGGGGAAGGGTGGCATTGTCTTTCATCCCACCAGCCTCTTTAATGTCTGTGTTGGAGGAGAGCGGCTGTCCCCGCATTCCGTCTGTCGTGTCCTTCTGCATGGAGGGTGCAAAGTGAGGCTGGCACAGCAAAGACGGTGGCTGGAAAAGGAAGGGAGACTCTAGGCTTTTCAGATGATTGTGGACATTCCTTTTTTTTTTTTTTAAATAAAAGCTAAACTAGATGAATAGTAGTTTCTTAAAGGTCAGTTGCAATATGAAATTGGAAATTCAAGCAATGAGCCTCTTGTTCTCTGCTTCATGACAGCGCATCAGTATGCCTTGCGCTGTTTTGTGCTCCTTCATGATTTTGTAACATTATGTATTCGTCCTTGGGAAAATATGGATTCCCTGAGTTACCCAAAAACATTGCATGCATTCATATCACTGCTGATTTTATGATAGAAGTCTTTCTGTAACTGAGAAACTGACAGCCTCAAAATGGCAGACACACGTCTTCCCCAATTCTGGCTCAGATTTGCACACGGGCTACAAAAGCTGCCAGTTTTCCTTGAAGCGACAGTCGTTTCATTCATTTTCTGCTAGGAACGTTCCAAGTCCCCCGTCTGAATGACCACAGATTGTCAGTCGTGGTTCTTGCTGTAGAAACGGCCCGCGGGCACAGCGGGACCCTTCCTCCCTTGCATGGTGGGAGTAGGGCCCCGCCGGGAGGCGTGCGTCCCCTTCCGATGGCGAGGGGCGCGCCCGTGCGCTTCCTCGTCGTGCAGGATAGTGCGAAGGCGTGTCCCCGAGTGGCCGCGGCTTCCCGTGCGGTCCTGGCGGTGCTCCGTCGTTGGTTTTACACATAGTGGGGTGCTTAGGTCAGTCGTGGCGTCCCAGCTGGTCCCAGCCCTCCTTTCTCCCGTGGTCGTCTATACGTCTGTGTCTCTGTTTCTGCTCTGCAAATAAGTTCATCTGCACCATTTTTCTAGATTCCACATATATGCGTTAATGTGCGATACTTGTTTTTCTGACTTAGTTTTCTGTGGGGACCTAAATGGGGGGGAGACCCAGTGGAGGAGAGGGTATGCGCACACTTGTGACTGAGGCACATGTCTACAGAAGTAAACGCACCAGTGTGAAGCAATTATACTCCAATTAAAAAAAATTTCAGGAAAGAAAACGTCCTCCAGGGTTGAGACTGAACAAAACAATTCATTTTACTGCTTAACAGGTGCAGTTTTAAGCAAAACTGACCTTTAACATTTTTTTGGAGATTTGAACAATTTGTTTTCTTCCCGTGTTTCCTGATCATTGTAAGTGTTTGGGACAGTGGGAGGCGCCACCACCGTGGTCCGTGCTAATCAGACAGCAGCATTTCCATCTGTGCACGTGTCACGGAGCGGGAAGAGGCGATTACCGTCTCAGCGTTGGCACGACTGTGGTCTTCTCTGCGGGGAGAGTCTCCCGACATGCAGGGTCCGTGGCCCACACGTTGAGACGTGTCGGTCCAGCCGCCCAGCCTGTCTGCCAGGGCTGTGTTCACCCCTGGGCTCATGCGTGTGCCTGTGACCGCTCCTCCCCCGGCATGAATGGACACACGTCCTCACTGCTGACAGGCTGAGCTGATTCCTTCCCATGCTGCTACCACTGCCACTTTCCTTTCTTTCTGTTTCAGCAAGGGAATTTCAACAGTTCCATCGGCTCTGACGGGTACATGCTCTCGTCGCTGACCTGCGGAATGGCTCCGGTGACATCCATCACGGAGGGGCTCCAGCAGGTGAGCCGTGCCGGGGCCTCAAGACAGATGGACACCCAGACAGATAGCTGGGCCTCTCACTGAACCTCAGTGGGCAAAGGCTGAAGGAAGACAGCCTTCACATCTGAGGATGTGAAGAGTTGTTGCTGAAGTATCAGCTTTTTTCCTCCTCTACCAGGGAGAAGTAAATAGGAAATATTTTTAAGTTGTTCAGTCACCAAGTCACAGCCCACCAAGTCCCTTTGTCCATGGGCTTCTCCAAGAACACTGGAGTGGGTCACCATGCGCCCCCCTAGGGGATCTTCCTGACCCACAGATGGAACCCAAGTGTCCTGAGTTGGCAGCAGATTCTTTACCATCTGAGCCTCCAGGGAAGCCAGGTTAAAGATGTAATGTGAGGACTTCACACCGGGAAGAAGTCCCCCACGTGGCGCTGCAGGTGTAGAGAGAAGGCGCCTGCTCTGCTATTAGGGTGTTAATCTGGTTTTCCTCTGAGGACGCTTCATCTTCTGGGTTTGAAAAATGGAAGTCTCTGTCTTTAGGGGGTGTGTGCATGCTAAGTCACTTCAGTCATATGCGACTCTGCAACCCTATGGACCATAGCCGGCCAGGCTCCCCTGGGATTGTCCATGGGATTCTCCAGGCAATAATACTGAAGTGGGCTGCCATTTCCTTCTCCAGGGGATCTTCCCCACCCAGGGTTCGAACCTGAGTCTCTTAAGTCTCCTGTACTGGGAGGCAGGTTCTTTACCACTAGCGCCACTTGGGAAGCCTGAGAAATCTCTAGGGGTTAGAGGTGGTCTTGCCTGAAAATCCCAGGATATTAGACAAGAAACTTTCCAGTGAGTCAGACCCCAGAAGCTCAGGGAGGTAAGTGAAGGGTGCGATGCAGTCCCTGCCCTCACGGAAATTACAGTTCATCCAGAAGAGACATAAGAATTAACTGGTCATTGATGAGCCTGCTGCCGGGTCTGCTGTTGGCACATCAGCGGCAAGGCAGCAGCCTCTGGACACCAGGCGGCTTGTGGTCTGGTGGGAGAGACTGAGGAGACCGCTGAGAGAGAGCCGGGCAGCGAGGTGAGGGTTTTCACAGAGGGATCGCTCTGGAAGGACTGAGCGCGGGTGACGGAGGGGTGATGGGGGCGGTGTATGACAGAAGGCTGTGTGGTCAGCCTCATCCACCCCGGAAAGTCCCGACGAATCGGGTGGGGAGAGGCTTGTCTTCTCCCTCTGCTTCTCTCAGAGGAGATCCTCGGAACCCCCGGGGGGCCCAGTGGTTGAGTCCACACCATCGCCGCACAGCGTGCAGATGCAACCCCCGCTCAGGGAACTGATCCCCCGCGTGCCTCGTCGTTTGGCCAATAACAACAGAAAAGAGCAGTCACTAAATGTCTTGTAGGTGTTTGTAGAGAATGTGAGCAGAAGCCCGTGAGTTCCCACAGACCTGCTCTCCACTCCCTCCCAGTGCTTCCTGTTAGCAACATCTTGCATGTTGGTGTGGCTCTCTGTTACAGCTGATGAGCTAGTATTGAAACGTTCTTACTGCCCGATGTCCACAGTTTGTCCTGGGATTTATTCATGGCGTCATCCATCTGTCATTTATCCATCCTGTGGGTTCTGATGATTACAGAGTGACCCATATCCAGCATTAAAGTGTCCTACAGATAATCCACTGCCCTGAATATTGCCCTGTGCATGCTAAGTCACTTCAGTCGTGATCGACTGTTTGTGACCCCGTGGACTGTAGCCCGACAGGCTCCTCTGTCCACGGGATCATCCTGGCAAGAACACTGGAGTGGGTTGCCATGCTGTCCTCTGGGGGCCCTCCTGACCCAGGGACTGAACCCACATCTCTTACATCTCCTGCATTGGTAGGTGGGCTCTTTACCGCTAGGACCACCTTGAAGCTCTGAATATTCCCCTGGGTCCACCTGTTTCTGAAATCCTGGCAACCACTGATGTTTTCACTGCCTCCAGAGTTTGCCTTTTCCAGCTTCCCTTTGGTTTTTACAATTTTCAAAATTATCCTTCTGCCTACTTGACAGAATCAGGTCGTTTTTGAGACTTGATATGAAAAACAGCAGACCCTCATCCCATATACCCATTCACTCTTCTCAGAAGCAGTCGGGCTGCCCTTTTAGCCGGACCTTCTGACCTTTACCTCCTTATCTCTGGAGCGGACACTCCATGGAGGCGTCCAGCTGATTTCTTGGTTCTGGATCAGGTTGATATCCTGCTGAAGGGTGCACATGGAGCTCTTCTTTCTGACCCTGCTCTCCTTGCTCACACCCACCACCACCCCCCCCCCCCACGTTTACCCTCCCTTTTTAGTGATACCATGATTTTGGTTAGATCTGTACTGAGATAACCATCATTAGGGCTATTTCAACACTATTCACAGCTGAACTATGTAATACACACAACCCATTCTCCTTTCTTGTATAGTCTTTTTTATCTTTCCCTGAAACAAAAGGTTAGCTGGCCTTTTACTAGGTATTATTCATAATGATTGTGTTCATCTCCTCTTAGAAATATCAGATACTCTGTCAGTTTCACCTTCTGGAAGGAATTCCTCACGGAGCCTTCTGACCTGCTGTCAGGACTGGCTGCGTCCCTGAGTCTGGCACTTAGATGACCCTGGCCCCCCTTCGCGGTCACCCCGGGGACCCTCCGCCTCTTGTCAGCATTGGGTCCCCTGCTTCCTTGTATCACAGGATGTTGCCTTTCTCTGTCGAGGCCCTTCTCTTTGGCTGCTTCCCTTTTCTGGTAGCTTCCTGATAAAGGGGTGCCGCTTGGGAGGCGGTTTTTTTGTGGTATTTCTGCATGGTTTGTGGGATTTTTGTTCCCAGACCAGGGATGGAACCCAGGCCCTCAGCAGTGAAAGCCTGGAGTGCTAACCACTGGATGACCAGGGAATTCCTGGGAGGCAAATTTTTTGATGCTTTGTATCTTTGAAAATGTTTCTCTTTATAGTTTCCTGCCTTTTAAAAGTTGCATTTATAAGTGTTACAGTGAGAGTCCCTTAGTGGAAAGGGCGAAAATTAATGGGTATGGTTAATTGCCTTCTTAATCTGAGACAGTAATTGCTCTTTTTGAGTTGGTTGTCTGCCCAGGTCTGGAGTGAGCTGGTGACGGCTGGCACTGGTCATTCTCAGCGTCTGGCATAGGGTCTGCCTTTTACGATCAGTACATAAACCTTAAACCAAGAAGCCTTGATTGTAGTTTGGATATTTGAGATGCTTCTTTGGATCTTCCCTAGCTCGGAGAATCCTACGACTACTAAGAATCTCTGTTTTGGTCTTTGTGTAATTTGCATGTATTGTTAATAACTGGACAACTATTTTCTCATTACCTGTGGTCTGACAGGCCCGGTGCTGTCCAGTGGCTCAGAGCAGACAGCTTTTGTTCTCTGTGTTCTGCTGGTGCTTACAAAGTTTTCATCATATATCCTTATCCTTGGAGCAGATAGGAAGATACGTCTTGGGGACTATGTATCAGAGACGTATCCGAAAATCCCGTGAGACAGACGCACGTGCTGTCCTGTCGTGTGAGCTCACGGGTCTCTCTGTCTCGCAGGTTGTCACCATGGGCCTCTTCCGAACGATCGCGTTGTTTTACCTTGGAAGTTTCGACAGTATTGTTCGTCGCTGCATGATGCAGAAGGCGAAATCGGAAACTATAGACAAAACTGCCTAATTCTTACCCCTTGGAAAAAGACTGTCTGAATAATTTACCAGCTTGCTGCTAAGTGGGACACAGTTTTGGGCTTGCAGACACTTATGTCTTGCTTTCTAATCTGTGATATTGGACCAGTGATCTTCAGAAACCTGGCTGCAAGCAAGGGGATCGCCGTTCAGCTCCAGACTATTATTAATACTATGCAAATATGGAGGAGACCACTTGATTCTCCCAGGTGGAGAGGTGATGGTAAGGGAACTCATAGCATGTCAGCAGGATTCCGGAATGATCACTGAAATGTTTCTTCTATTCTATTTTTTCCCGTTAGAAATCATGTCCAGAAATGGGTTTCTGGGACCTTTTCTTTTTTTCTTGTTCTCTTTTTTAACTTGGTGTGTTTTATTCCAGATGCATTTTACACATTGCCTTGGGGTCTGAATACATAATAATGTCCCAGACTCACTCTGATGCTGGTGGTCCCTTGTGGTTTCTTTCTCTTTGATCCCATAAAACTACACGGGGGATGGGAGAGGACCATACAGAGGAACGGAGGAGATAAATATTTTCCAGTAGGAAAAAATAATGATTTTTTTTGTCTTCTTTAGACTTGAATGCTTAGGGCACTTCTCATCTTTCATTCATGGAGAAAGGCAGCCTCCTGAAATATTTTCTGAAGAGAAGTAAAACCTTAGCAGCTTAAAAGTTTACAGTTTCTTCAATAGCCATAATGACCCGAAGCTCACCCATTCCATTGTAGTTTCTTATTCTTCCCATGTCTTCCTTTCCAATTTTGCTTAGACTGCTATAATATTTTTATAAAAAAAGAAAAGAGAGACACCAGTTTTTTCCTTGACTTTTTAAATTAATTAATGAATTTATTAAAACAAATGAAAAAGTTAGGAAGTGTGACCCTTGTCTCCTTGTAGCATATATGTAGCTTTTAAGAAAGACCGAAGGGGGAGTTTGCTGCTCCAGCGGTTCAGACTCTGCCCTTCTAATGCAGGGGCACAAGTTTGATCCCTGGTGGGGAGCTAGGATCCCACATACCATGTAGCACAGCAAAAAAAAAAAACAACAAAAAAACGCTGACAGCATATTTCAGTTTGGGGTTTTTCCTGAGACGGCCGTGTGGGTTTCCCCCTTCGTTGTGTTCATGTGGTGCCTTACACCGATCCATGTTTGTGTTGAACCTTACTTGCACTGCAGAGGTAGATTCCATCTGGCCAAGGTGTATAGTCATTTTAATATGCAGCTGAAGCAATACTTTCACAGACCACCTCCTTATAAAATAAGACAGAAAATGTGCCCCCCTCCCGTTTTCTGCCGGTGTTGGAGGGGCTCCTGCGGAGGTGTGGGCATTGGCAGCAGCCTCAGTTTTACTCGTTAAGGAAAAAACTGTAGGACGACAAGGGCTGCCAGGTGTCAAAGATGCTTGTTTCTGAAATACAACGATCGCCCTGTTCTTTCCATGACTTCCCCTCTGACCTTGAGAATATCTCCATACCGCGTGTTAAGAAAGCCCAGCCATCGCTGGCACAGTGGAGGCCTGGACACGCTGTTCCTCTCTGGACACTGGGCCACCGTCCACGGGCAGAATTCTGCAGCGAGGGCCCGGGGAGTCTCAGCCTGCGAGCCGCTCTGTCAGTGGATGCGCTCTTCAACCTGAGACTCTAGGGCGGCACCGTCCTTGTACCGGCCCCACCCTGTCGCACACACTGAGTTTATGCGTCTCCACATTCCAGTTCCTTTTAGTGAGAAAAGACCACTGCTTTGGAAGAAGGAATTTTTTTTTACTCTTGTTCAAAAACAGCAGCTATAGAAGAGATTAAAGACCTGAACACTATGACAAAGCTTTTCTGCTCTTGAGTTTTTGAACTCTTGACTTTCAAATGACTTAATTTTTACAAAGTAAGATGTTTAACGGCTTTTATCCAGTGTTTTTTTAAAAGACACAAGAACGGCACGTGTTCAAACACTGACAGAGACAGAAGAAATGATTATTTAATATATAAGTTGCTTGGGATGACTTCATTGCAGTCTATGGGGGTTGATTGAACCCATAAAGTTTTCATGAATCTTTCAGCCTTCAGGAGCCATCATTTGCAAATTCTGTTGAGTCATATTGGGTGCTTCTAAATGGGAGTAATGACTATATTTTCCTCATTCACAGAAAACAGATACAAAGTAAAAGCTGGGTGTTTCTCAATTTTATTCTTTTCTTGTAAGTGTTTCTTGAATGTGGGTATCTTCTACTGATGGTCTATATTAAAGCCTAGTCCAAGATGGTGCATTCTTTAATTAAATTAACTATTTCAGTAGTTATTTCAGTACATTTCTCAAGGTATCCTCAGAGAGAGTTCAGTCATTCCAGGTCACCTACTACCCGAACAAATCTAAGAGCCCCTGATCCACAATGGGGAGATATCCCCAACCAAGATGAAACTCAAGCATGAGAGCAGATTCTTGCAGCTGAAGCAATACTTTCACAGAAATTATAGCATCGGGGAATTATAGCATAAGATTCATGGAAATACAGCATCTCTTTGTCAGAGATGGCAAAGCTCTACAGCTTTGTGAACAGAAAGGTTTGAAAACGGAGGTGTTCCTTTTCTTCTTTCTACACTTGGTGCCATAATCTACTTGATGGCAAAACCTGACTTGAGATTCCTGTAGTTTTTATTTATGTCATGCCATGGGCTGTTCACTCGTCTGAAGAAATACCAACGGTTTTGATGACAGGGATTGCCCCAGACTCTGTGGAGATGTTTTTATAATATCCAGTGTAGACCCCATATTACCTTTTCAAAGTGTAAAAAAAAAAGAAATTTTCTTTGGATGGGGGATTGTAGACACTTCAGGAGCATCACACAGTGACCTGGCTTCATCTAAAGCATGAAACTATTACAAGGCAAATTCTATTTTTTATCTTTTTTTGGCTCAATTCTTGTTAAACCTTTTATTATACTGATTTCTTTTTTGCTCGGAAAGAAGAGAAAGACTGAGTCAGACTGCAGATTGTTAGGGAAACTATTGGCTTTTTTTTTAAGGATCACATTGATTCAACACTTTCTGTTGTGCCCAGAGTGGACAAGTCTTACTTGTGGCAGAAGAAGTTTAATCATAATTCTGTTGAAAGGTGGGTTCTGTGTATGTGACCAACAATAGCTTATTATGTGAGTTTCAGGTCTGATGTGCCTGCCTCTGCTAGGTTGGGTTGTACTATTTTATTATAATGTATTTGTGAGTATATTTATTTTAATGTTTAACATTATTCAGCCATTGAAATTGCAAAGTATGTTCAAGGACCCTTTATCATTGAAAAAGGTATAAAAATTCTCATTTATTTTTGCTAAAACAAAGTCAAGAGAGTTGATCTTTTCTGTATATTTAAAAATTTAACTCACATCTGAAAAGAGAAGAAATTAAAAATGCTGTTATTGATGGCCCCTTTAGATGAAATTATATTTGTTTCATTATGGGTCTCTGTTTGGATCATTTTTTGTTGATTCTTGGAAGTAAAAATTTGAGAGTCCGTTTCTAATATTAAATGACAAAACCTTTTTGATAATAGTTGTTTTGATTCAAAGAATTGTATGTCTCTGTCTTTTCAGAAGAAGGTAGTCCCATAATAATTTTTTTAAAATGAATTGTATCAACAGATTTAATTTTATTATATCATATTCCAATTTAAACATGTCTTAACTCCCTTGAGGACACTTAAGCTATTCATACTTTTTGACCTAAAATGTTTGTATCTTTCTCATTTCCTTAACTTCTTAGTGACTCAGTGTTGAAAATTACCTACTAACCATAACCTTCCATATTCTGGACTAAATCTTGTTTAGTTCAGGGCAGTGATGGCAGATTTGGTATTTTGAAGAGGAGAGACTAGCTATTATATTTTACACTTGCTTGAGGTGACAACTCTAAAGGCATTTTTAAACTGATAAGAGTGCATATGACTATTTTGATATATAATAGAACCTGTGTTTGCTACTTTAGAAGCTTATGTGGCAGAATTGTAACCTAATTTTCATATCTTGTATTTCTGAATCATGACAAAAAATAAATGGGGAACATGCTTTACAGATTTGAAAATTTATTTCTTAGAAATGTGCATTTTTAAAGACACATTTAAGCAAAACACCAGTCCCTTTCATGATATTATCCTAACCTTGCATCTTAAACACTTGACAAGGCTTAATTTTTATCATTTTTTAGGAAGTATTATTTTCACAGTAGATGTTTCCGCCCTTGTTTCAAATATGTTCTGGATTTGTGTGACTCCAGTGTGGGGTATATGAGTAAAAAGAAGAAATATGGAATTTAAGAAAATTTCTTAGGTAATTATGTTTCATACACAGATTGATTTTCTATGCTTTAAGGCTTCATATTCCAACAAGGAAATATCTTCTAGACTCTGAAGGGCATAGAAGAGAGAGATGGGAAAGAACACACCTTAATATTTCTTGGTCCTTAAATAGAAAAATTGTGGTCACATTGAGAAGAGATCCCTTGGATGGCTTGATTGGCAAATTGAACCTTTCTTTCAGTTTGAGCAACTTGTATACGTAAATGGCATAGAATATCACCTCTGTGATTTTTATGTTTGGATGTTTAAAAAGGAAATTATTTCTTGACTTCTGTCAAGACTTTTGATTTTATACACCCCATTTTCTCTCATTCGGCCTGTATTTATCGAATGCCTATGAGGAGCTTGGTATCCAGGCACTGATGTAAACAGTACTGGGTGTAAACAGTCTGTCCCCTCCCCGTGAGGATTCCGTTTCTGGTGCGTTCCCCTGCTTGCTTCTTCATCCCTCTGAGGGCTCCGATCAGTCTTCCTGGAGAAAGACGAACTGATCCTCATTCCTTTCTTCAGGCTTCTGAACGTTATGCCACCATCATTTGAATGCCAAGCTCTATTCTAGGCTGGGAATGTACAAAGGAAAATATGGGCCCTGCCCTCAAATAGTTTATAATCTGGGGGAGGGGGAACGCATGTCAGGAATTACATG